GGGTATTCCTGGGTTCTGGCAAGTACTTATGGACTTCATTCTGTCATATTCTAAACATGATGTCAAGATTACTGGACATTGCATTTTACTGTAAAAGTTTATAAACCTTAAGATTTAAAAAACTCTTTCCTTTTATAATGAATGGCATAGTAAGTCAGTGATGCTTATTAGAAAATGTTTTAGTTTCCTATGTAAAACAAACTTTTCTGAACTTCGCTGAGGCTTAAAACTGTCAGGTTTTTAATGTGATTAGTTTTAAGTTACGTAAAGTGCTGTTTTAAAAATATAAACTGTGGTTAATGTTTTAGAACTATTGCTTGGAAACAGCAGGAAGAGAAACGTGTTATACAAAGATAAATAATAAATCACTCATTCTGTACCTTTTACAATCATAGTTGTCCTCTTATTTTTTTTTCTGAAGATTTCTTTGAGGGAGAGCAAGCGTGCACATAGGTGGAGGGGCAGAGGGAGAGGGAGAGGAATCCCAGCAGATTCCCTGCTTACCATGGAGCCTGACTCAGGGCTTGACCTCACAACTCTGAGGTCATGACCTGAGCCAAAATCAGGAGTCAGAGGCTCAACCCACTGAGCCACCCAGGCGCCCCATGTGAAAGTAAGCTGTATTCCCAACATGGGGCTCAAACTCATGATTCTGAGATTGAGTCACACGCTCTACTATCTGAGCCAGCCAGGTGCCCCTCACAGTTGTCATTTAAAAAAAATCCAAGTGAATCTTTTTCTCATATGCAATTACAATCTAACCATTAGTATAATACAAATTATGTGATTTTTGAGTCCAACAAATACTTAAATATACTTTTTAGGGGCACCTAGGTGGCTAGTGGGTTAAAGCCTCTGCCTTCGGCTCAGGTCATGATCTTAGGGTCCTGGGATTGAGCCCCGCATCAGACTCTCTGCTCAGCAGGGAGCCTGCTTCCTCCTCTCTCTCTGCCTGCCTCTCTGCCTACTTGGGATCTCGGTCTGTCAAATAAATAAATAAAATCTTTAAATATATATATATATTTATATATAATATATAAGTTTATATTTATATATATTATATAAATGTATATTTATTTTTTTTACACACACACACACACACACACACACACACACACACACATATATATACTTTTTAATTAGAACTTCTCATCGCTTAAACCTTCTCCCTTAAGAACATACTATCTTAGGTGAAGAGCTCCCATTTTTCCTTTTCAGAAGAAAAGGGAACAAATATTTGAACTATTCCAGATATCCTACAACATCATACTTAACTCTACAACAATCCTATAATAAAACAGTCTCAATTTTACAAAAGATGAGAACACTGAAGCCCAGGGGGTATAACCTGTCCCAGATCTGGTAGCCAGTAAGTATTCTAAATAGGAACCCACTGATTACCAAAGAAATGCCTCCTCGAAAACCACCTCTTCGCACACTGGTTCTGACCAAACAGGCACCCTATGTCTTTTCCTTATCCTGGACACTGAAGTAGATGGTTAGATTTGCATGTCCCTTAAAATACCTAAATCAAGTCAGCAACAGACTCCTTGTTGAAATCCTATTTCGTATTTCTCCGTGGGCTGACAGGGTGGAACATTCACAAGTCTGTAACCTTGGTTATGATCTGTTTTGCTCTACCCATCAAGTGAGGAAGACAAAATTTTAGGGGATAAATTTTAGGAGTGTGCAGCATTCCAGGACTATTCACAGAAGAGTATGAAAATGCTTATGTCTTAATTTCTTTTATTTAATTTTTTAATATAAAAAGCAGGCATAAAATACAATTACATTACTACAAAGATGCAACAAAATTTTTTTTAAAAATCGGGTACGATTTTTGTTCAACGGGGACAGCTGATCAAATAGTTATGATTATCTAAACCATGCAGTTCATAACTTATTACAGTTCCAAACAGAACTCATTATTATGGGGAAGGGAATCGAGGACAGGCCCGCAAGCATAAGATCCGGCACTGTCACACAGTGCCTGTTTTCAAAGTGCTTTATGAATCAACTATGGTTATCTTCACGCCAGAGGGAAACTGCAGCCTTCTTCCAGGGGAGAAGTCGTGAGTCAGTAGCAGTGTCGACACAGACTGAGAAACTCAGAAGTGACTTGCTCTCATAGAATATTAAACATGTTATTTAAAGCATGTTTCAATAAGGTAATAGAGTGTCTAAGTTTCTCTATTTTACCATGAGAATCCTGTAAGAATAGATTAACAACAGCAGCAAAACTTCTTAAATTGTGGTTTGGCAACCTAGAGTATCTTTTTGAGGATCTACAGATAAACTGATCCACAAGATATCCTTCTTCAGAGCCAGATTTGTGACTCTAGCCTAGGTTAGTTTTAAAAACACTAACCTTATTTTAGATTTCTTGGTATCCTTTAGTTAGCTAAAGGCATTTAAAAATTTCAGATAGATTTTTTTTAAAATCTTGCTTCTAGATAGCATATTTTAATACTTTTCAAAAATTCACTATACATTAATTTTTAACAGTAATACCGGCACCAGTTTTCCTTCTACTTCTGTTTTGCTATCCCCACTAAACAAAAGTAAAAAAATCCAACTAAGAAAATCCCAGTATTCACTACTTCTTAGTTATCAATCGGAGGTATTTATGGCTCTAGGAGAAATCAGGTGTGAAGAAGCAAGTTTTGGTCTTTATCTGGGAACCTTTGGAACCTCAAGAAAAAGAGAAGGTGGCACAAAATCAGGTTGTTAAACCAAGTTAATATTATATTTAATGAGTGTTGGGAAGAGAACATTTGGATGGATGTATGCATTCATGTATGTACATGAAACCAGCAACAACAGGGTAAAAAGCAAATTCTTACCCAAGGTCAGAATTTTTATTAGGTGCATTTCCATTAGCTGGAGAAATAACCTTATAAACCCTTGTGTTAAACCATATAATGTGAAGAATCTCCATGGGAGAGATTTTTTTCACCTCCTAGAATACCTTTTTTTTCCCAAGAAAACTTCACATTAGTTTTCCTTGTAGAGTTGCATCACACCATGATTCTCCACATTCTCTAATATATACAGCATTCAAAATTTAACTTTTGCCATTTTTACTCAAATATTTCAATTACTCATGTGTAAACTTCAAATTATTTCACCTTAATAAAGTTTATTAAAAATATATATATATATATACTCTCCAATTCAGAATAATATGATAGAACCTCCCATAGTGTAACAAAATCTTTATATAAAATATTAATTCAGTCTCCTTTTAACAAGTCTAATGAATGGAAATATTTATTCTATATAAATTTTATATATTTTTCATTTTAAAATCTTACTTAAAAAAAAAAAAAAAAAAAACTGTGCCCCCAAACCAGAACTGCAGAACATCCCTGGGAGGGAAATGGCATGCGTCTCTGGTCTTAGCACAGACAGCATGGAAGAGTGCAGGCGGGATAATGACAGAATAACAAGATTCAGTTTTAGTACATCAGTAGGCCAAAGGCCACTCTTCAGTTTCCACAACAGTATCTGTATTTTGGGGGTCTAACTCTTTAAACATTTCTACACTGATCCCAGAGGGAATCAATGAAAAGTGTCTACTTCCTTCATTGGTTTATTAGATGACTTATTTCAGTATCACACCAAACCCTGTGTATGTGTGTGTATATAAAGAGACCGATAAAAGACCACATAATTTTTTTCAGCTTGATGTTTAACATTAATGCATACTGTAGCAGTATAAAACACATTTTTCTGGGATAATGAGAAATCTAGCAGAAATGGTCCTGCATAACCTATCAACTTTAACATCCTTTAAAAAAATAAAAATCAGGAGCCTCTGAGGCTACTTCTTCCCGTCACCAGTTTTCTTAACCCAATCCTGGAATATTGCCATTACACAGTTATGTGTTTGAGGGATCACATTTAAATATTTAAAATATATCTACAGTATGTCTTAGTTTTCTTTATATTTGAGATAATCTTAGAATCTTGAGTGTGAAAATGTAAAAACAGTCACAAATGTCTCTACTGGAAATAAAAACACATCTAGGGTAGCCAGCAAATTCAAAGCAAAGAAAACAATTCATAGCCACACACTAATACTGAGGTCTGTATGAAGACTGGGATGAATTAATAGATATACATAAAAGATATATTAGTTCCAAGAGTATCCATTATTGTTTCTATCACCAATACTTTAAAAAAAAATCTGTTATACAATCAAAATAGGCTGACATTGATAACTATTACATGTAAAAATAGTGCACTCTTTTTTCTTTTGCAACACGAATTTGCATCCTAAGAGCTGGTAAACACTTTTTTTCAAAACACAGAAAAGGGTGAGACTTTAAAAAAAATTAAATTAAGGCATTCAAAATGGGAAAAGTTGCCTATCATGAAGCATTAGGAAATTGATACAATTAACGTCAAACTGCCTGTTACAGTAACTGCTTAAACATGAACATGCAGCTTCCACGGGGTATACACAGATAAGTGATACAAACTCCAACATTATGGCTTTATACAAGTGCATAGTTGCAACTGCAGGAAGTTATGATATCTGATTTATGTGTATAAAAAATAAAATGGGGCATTTGAAGAACCCTCTTGCAGTATTACAGTACTATGTATATCTGTGTGTGTGTACATATACACGTACAGAGACACACACATATATATGCACACACACAGTCTAATGGTCACTTCTTAAAAGATGCAGTCTCGATCACTGTAGTGGAATCCATTCCCAGACTCTTCTGGTAAATGTGCTGGTGAAATCTCTCTGCTGATGCTGAAAAGATGATTTCTTTCAACTTTAACTCTTCTCAATCCTTTTGTGCAATGTAGTGTGAGTGACTGCCAAGAAAGCGTTATGGAACAAGTTTGGAAGAGTTGTATATAATATTCTTATTCTACTAACCAATCATTGTTGGTTCAACTTGCTGCTCCAAAGGAGCCCAGAAAATCTCCAAGATTTATAATTTATATTGTAGGAATAAAGGGAAATATATATGTATATGTATGTATGTATGTGTATATGTGAGTATCAGTCTCTCAGGAAAATATAGCTTTTTAAGAAATTTTGGGCCATCATATTTCAGTCTTGTTTTAACTGGAAGAATATGATCTCCTTGAATAATGACTGCATTCATAGAAGGCAGCTAGCTAGAAAAAAGAAAGGAAAAACAAAGTTAGTTGACACAGTAAAATAATTTAAGAGATTGTTAAATTCTTTGAAAAAGCATTCCATTTATGTAATTAAACTACGTAGTCTTCCAACTCCTACATTTTTAACACCTAAATCATGCATAAACCTATTTACTATATTACTTTTCTAATTTTCAGGTACATGCAATTATATTCTTATATTTTCCTATATTTTCTACAAACATGACCACACAAGTTTTAATAAGGTTAACTGGCTCTTAGGGTTAGATAATACATTCCTGAGTAACTCAAGTGCATGTAAGTCTGACTTGGAAATTAACTAGCTGCCTCATGGAGCTCAAAGAACAGTGGACTTATGGACCAGGTTCTACTTGACTGTTAGACTCTTAGCCACATTTAAAAAAATCTATTAAGATGGAAACAAACACACTGTTGTAGTAAAAATGCTCTATAAATCTTGGTTATAAATACCTCCCAATAATACATGATTTAAGTTTATTTTTGCAATATGCTTACTTAGGTTAAGATAGACATTACTTCTTTTAAATCCATTTTGTATAAAAGGTTTGACCATGAGGTTCGATTTTCCTTCAGATCTCCTTTAGTCATGGTTAACCAAAGTATTTATGTATTTTACAAGCACAAGAACTTTCACAGCACATCAGCAGTATTCTTCAGCAAGAGTAACATCAACTTGTCGGAAAGCAAACATCTCACGGCATCACAAAGAAAAGCCAAATCAAAAACAGTATTTCACAGCACTTATTAGACTTACAAAGTGTTTACGGTTTCAATTCTTGCACGTTAGAGAGAAGGAAGGAGGAGGGAAGGAGAGAGGGATAGAGGGAGGAAGGAATCCCATGCTATGTTCACAAACTAATACAGTTGTAGGAACTTGAAAACATTGTAAATTTTACTTCTCTGAATATGCTTCTTTGGAATGAACAAAATGTACCAGAATTAGCTTCTTTTGTTATTTGTACATGTTTCATTCCTAAGATTAAAAATTGTAATTCCAACTGTATTGAAAATATATAGCCAATAAAGATTCTGAACATAGCATTTCACTTTTACAACTTAACATAAAAATTTCAGTTAGAAACTTTTCTGAAAACTACTTTTCAAATACATACTATTAAAAACAACTTAACAAAATTTCAAGACTAGTCAAAAACAATGAAAACCCAAGTGTAAATCACATGCACTACTTGGAACTACTAATTCATTTTTCATTTTTTGATTTACCCCATTTATTTCTTCAGAAATCAAAAACATCGTCATCATCATCACCACCACCATCATCAAATGACCAATCCCAGTCTTTAAATGCCAAATCAAGCAATCTGCAATAGGAGGTTTGCAAATTCACATTCTAGCACTCTTTAGAAATGGCAGCTTAATATGATATCTAGAAATCACACTTAGTGCTGTGAAGATTTTAACTCCCCCTTCATCAAAAACAACATAGCCAAAATTAAGATGGTAGCACACAGGAGATCTTCTTTCTCTTTTTATGTGAGTGCATATAACATTAGCCAGGTCTGATTTCTAGAATACCAGAGACCTGAAGACAGGTAATATTTGAGGTAAGATATGAGCTTTTCCCCACTGGGCCCAAATGAAGATGTAACCATCCTGATGCCCACTTTGATTTGTACCAAAGCTCAACATTTGTCAACACTCCCTTTGCAAAAGGACCCAGATGGCCAGCTCACATTTTTCTAGAACAGTACCACAAGTCCCAGTTTAAAGAGGGACTAATACTAAGAATGCAGGTTTCTCAATTCTAACTGGACACCATATGCTCAATGGGTCACCAACAGTGATGTTCTCCATGAAAAACCACAACTGAAGAGGAAAACCACAGGTATAGAAGCATTATTAGCAGCTTATCTTGGCTGAATAAAGTGGACTTAGAGCAGGGGTGTATGTGTTTTTTTCTTTCCCATCCAAACATCTAATATTGCTATCATCTTTATTTTAAAAAATAGGTTAACTTTTTAATTGTTTTAACTGCGAGGTTCATGAATCATCTTATGCCAAGGAACTCATTTGGTCCCCCAAATCTCATTTGTGACCTCAACCTTAAAGTCAGTTCTTAGGGCACCTGGGTGGCTCAGTCAGTTAAGCATCTGCCTTTGGCTGGACTCTTGATCCTGGAGTTCTGGGACTGAGTCCTGCATTGAGCTCCCTGGTCAGCGGGAAATCTGCTTCTCCTTCTCCCTCTGCCCTTCCTCTTTCTCCTTCTCTGTCTCCCAAATAAAATCTTTAAAAAAATAAGTTGCTTCTTAAACTTTATGTTGTTTACTCAATGCTACTTATAAAGTATATCCCAGGCATTATCCCAAGAGATTCTGATATAACTGGACTGAAGTGGCAATGGGAGCCAAGTATCTGCATTTTTTTTTTAAGATCTTTATTTATTTATTTATTTGATAGAGAGAGAGCATAAGCAGGGGAAGAGGCAGAGGGAGAGGGAGAAGCAGGCTCCCAGCAGCCGATGTGGGGCTCGATCCCAGGACCCTGGGATCATGACCTGAGCCAAAGGAAGGCGTTTAACTGACTGAGTCACCCAGGAGCCCCAAGTATCTATATTTTTTAATAAAAAATTGGAAGTGAATTCTAATTCTAATGCATCTGGTTGACTTTGGTAATCACTGACAGTATGTTGATAGTATGTTTTCACCCTAAGTGAAAAGAAATAAACCAAATTACTCTTATTTCAAAATGTGCTGAATGTAGAATATTTGAGAAAATGCACAAAGATATAAATTACTCACTTAAACACACTTCACATTTTTCTAGGCTTACACAGACAGTAAGTTGTAGCGAAGGTACTACTTGGGACATGGAGATCAGTGGGCCATCCTGGGTGTTTAAGCCCCACTTTTGAAAAATCTGCATTTCCTACCCTTCCGAAACCTTTGAAGTGTTTGTGAAGTGCGCACCCATGTCACAGTCTTTAAATTCTAGAAGTCTGGTCACTAGGCTGTTAGCACAATGCCTGAGAGTCTTCCTTAAAGCTCCCTCAGCCCTTGCCAGTCAGCCATCTAATTCTCATTCCAACATGAGAAAGCTTTCTCGGACTTGGTTTCAGTATATTAGTGAAGGAGCTCATTAAGGCAACACACACCAATCTCTTGCTGAAAGACTTCTATCCGAAGAAGAAAATAAAAACTCCCACAGCACAGTGTATTGGGTCCTTTTCAATCTGGTTCAATGCTTTCTCTCCAGGGACATCTTCTGCCATTCCCTGTCATTACGCTCTCCCCACTCTAACCCAATACAATGTTACAAACACATAACACGAAGTAATTCTGACAACTCAGTACCTCTGCACATGACATTTTGCCTACCATTGTCTTTTCCCCTATTTCTTTGCCTGGAAAATTACTGAACCTCCCTTTTGGGTGAGCTAGCTTGATGCCCTCAGGCAGAATTCTCCATGTTTTCCTTTGTTCCCCTGTAACACTCACTCATGCTTCTATTATAAATAACATTTTAAAAAGTACCATAACACTATCTGTTTGATTTTCTACTTAATTGATCAGTGGGTACACACTGCAGGCCTGTGAAACTTACTGGCAAAGACTGCTTTGGAAAGGAGCATTAGAACTTTGAGTTCTGCTAAAAGTACATGACACTGCCTGTTTCTTTACGTGCTGCCAATACCAGCATTAATCTTACCAGTTTGGCAGGTTTTACATTTTACTTTTATTTTAACATCTTTGCTTAATAATCAAGTTGACCGGGGCGCCTGGGTGGCTCAGTTGTTAAATATCTGCCTTCAGCTCAGGTCATGATCTCAGGGTCCTGGGATGGAACCCCGCATTGGGCTCTCTGCTCTGCGGGAAGCCTGCTTCTCCCTCTCCGACTCCCCCCATTTGTGTTCCCTCTCTCGCTGTATCTCTCGCTGTCAAATAAATAAATAAAATCTTTAAAAAAATTATAAAAAAATTAAAAATAATTATCAAGTTGACCACTTTTCCCTATTTATAGTAATGCTGGCATGTTCCTCACTGATTTTTATGTTGGGAAGAGGCAATCATATAAATGATTTATATAAGAACTCTAGAGAGAGATATAACATACACATTGCAAATATATATATATATATATATATGGTGTTTTTAAAATTTACAAGGTTTTAATTTTAATTTCAAGTAAATTTAATTTACTCCATCACTGATTTTCTTTCTTTCCTTTTACTCTTAGGAAGCTCCCCAATCCAAGATCAGATCCATATTCACCCATTTTCTTCTACGACACTTAACGGATTTATTTTTGACACTTCCAGTTGTATACAGCTTTTTCATTTTTATCCAAATAATTAGTCTGTTAGCTTCCTATATTTATAAATGGAAAAGAACAAAACTAAAATAATGATAACATGGGGCACCTGGTGGCTCAGTTGGTTGAGCATCCCACTCTAGATTTCAGCTTAGGTCATGATCTCAGGGTCATGAGATCGAGCCTTGTGTTGGGTGTAAGGCCTGCTTAAGATTCTCTCTCCCTCTCCCCAACCCCCCACCCAATAAATAAAATAATGATAACATAAGAGCTCCTCTCACCCTTAAATTTTAACTGTGTTGGCAATGCTTTATTTCTTAAAACTGGGCAAATGAGCATTTGTTGCATTTTTTGCTTTATACTTTTCTGTGTGGCTTAAACACTGCATTTTAAAGAAGACCTTTAAAAGAAAAATAATTAAAGAGAAATGCCCTCAGCAAAGACGAGCATTCTGTGTCCCACTTTGGAACAGACTAAGGATCTCTCCAAACTATCTTTATCACAAATCAACATTATATTCACAAATTTTCTGCCTTTCCAGCCCTGTTTTTTTTTTTTATTCAAAATACCAAGAAAACGTACCTTTGGAATAGGATTTCTACACATATGTTTTATAAGCTGTCAATTAACTCATTTCTACTCCTATCACCGTGAGGCAGTGCAGGATTACAGCTGGGGTTGCAGGGACTGGAACTAGAGTATCTAGATCTGAACTCACGGCTTTGTTGCTTATTTGGTGTGTGATCTCAGACACACAGTGCTTCTATGCCTTAGTCTCCACATCTGTTAAATGGAGACATGAATAGTTAAATCACAGGGTGGTTATGAGGATAAATAATTTAGTACACTTAAAGCTCACAGACGAGTGCCTGGCATACGTAGAGGCTAATGCTTATTTAACTATCACTTCCCTACAGAAAAAGGGGATTGCTGCCAAGAGTTAAAAGGAGAATCGGAACCAGGAATGTCACAAAAGCGAAAAGAAAAAAAATGTAATGGTGTAGTCATTAACAAAGACAAACACTGAGGAAAAGTTAAAATAAATCAGATGATTATTTATAGGTATTATGTTTTAGTGCATATACAAACACATTTGATGATTCTGATGATGTCTAACAAAGCCAAACATTTGTCTTAAGAAAGACAGCATACGAGTTAGTTCAACGAAAGCTAGATTATACAAAGAGCTAGAAATTAAATTACGGCTGATATCGACCAGAAATGCTGTTTCCTAGGTGTTCCTGAACGATCCTTTCACAGCTCTGTCTACTGGAATGTTATAAATTCGTGGAACATCAAAGGCCATCAAGTCCAATGCTTGCCTCCCCTCCAGAGCTGTGCTGCTCACTGTCAGATGACCTACACATGACAGACTGAGGAGGGCGCTCTTTCCCAGTATCCCCAAGCAGTCACCTGAATCAGGTACTAACACTGTTGGTGACAGGGCATTTACTATTCTAGAGCAAACCAAGTCTTCCAATTTTGGAAATCTCTGACTGCCCGATACTTTTCCCTTGCTGAGTTACAAATGTACTTCTCTGCTTGGTTCTTGTTCTAATACATCATTTACAGAAAAGTCCCCTAAATCTTTATTCCCGTTTACCATCTCCCATCCTTCCCAACAATTTCTTCAGAAGCTAAATATCCTTAATTCCTTCACTTACTCCACATTTAACACTTTCAAATGATCCATTACTCCCTCTGTTATTCTCATCTGTATATCGTCCAATTTGTGCATACTACTCTTAAAATGTGACACCCAAAATGAAATGCAAACTTTAGGGTGATTCATGTAAGACAGAGACAGATACAATTTTGTGAGTTAATGAAGCAATGGAGTCATAGATATTAAAGACAATGGATATAACGCTGCAGACACATAATAAGATACAAAATTGCATCTTAAATGCGTCCATCTTTATGCTTAAAATCTCAGAGTATATTAGACAAAAAATGTTCACAAAAATACCCTATACATTTTATAGTCAGTTTTGGTATTAGTTTTATCTACATGCAAAGTTGTGAGAGAAAGAAATCCCTATTACTTACTGTTGCTATGCAAAATGTATTAAAAAATCAATGAAGAATGATTCGAAGGGCAGGCCCAGAACTAAAAACAAAAAGCAACAAAAATAAAAAGTAAATGTGCCTCTAAATAGACCAAAATGCCAAAGTGGGGAAGAAGGGAATAACCAAGTGTTTATAAGTCAGTGAACATGAAAGCTGTTGTGTGACTGCAAACATGCGTCACTTAGTCTGAAATCTGCTCATTAATGAATTCTGTGCATTACCACAGGTAGTGAAATCATTAATTTATCAAATAGTAACAAAGAGTAAACTATATGAAAGGAGTGGAGTTCTTATAGTCCTGAATCTGAAATTATTTGCCCTTCTAGAGTCTCAATCAAAAAGAAAGATAATAATACCTATCTATTCTGCTCTACAGGAATATTTTAAAGACTAAATGCCAGAATATGCAGAAGTTGAATGAGAGAACAGATTACGGAAGCACTCTGGAAGCTGTACAGCACTAGACAGTGTAAGCTATTTTAATAGCGTAACACCTATGCATTAATAGTTCTACAATATTAAAAACAAAAACTTAATTTTTAGATGTTTTGCGCATGGCACATGGAATGACCTTCAGTGTCTCTGTGTTGAGTTTCTTCAGCTTAATTACTATCATATAATCACTAATTTTATAGTATTTAGTTTTCTCATACCTCACAGAAAAATTCAACATTCTCACTGCTGAAACAGCAATTCTACCTTTGTCATTCTAAATTATTTACTTGAGATAATAGTTTCAAGAAAAGTTTCATATTAGATGTTTGTGGTTAGAATGAAAAGATTTCTGATAATACAGCCAATGCACATCATTATTCATATACTAAAGGTCCTGTGTTAGGGAACAAAAAGGATACCTTAAATTAGATACCTGATCATATAGACTTTACCCTTTAGCTAACTAACCAAATCTTCATGGTCATTTCAGTGAATAGCAATACTTACAAATGCCGCAGTAGCTAGTAAGCCAAGAAATGTTTATTCTGCATCAAGAATGAAAGGACTGTAATGTAGCCATATGAAAATAATCCCACCAAAACATTTTGTGCATTCACCATTATCTTGGAATTTACTCCCTCATCCCAACTCTGCCTCAAATACAAGGAATGTCCACAAGGAATGCAGTTAAAATCTGCATTTTTTAAGACTGATCTCTGTTGCTCTAAGTCAGAAGCAAGTATTATTCTAAACTTGTAGATGTGAATTAAGACTTAAGATTTCGGTCCTGCATACCAAGTCATCTAACATAAAAGAGGTTAACAGGTTTGCAATACTAAACACAATGTGTGCACCTGATGCTTACAGGTCTGTGTGCACACTGTCTACTAAACCATTACATTAGTCAGTGTGCTTCTAAAATCTTAAAATATTATGTTTATATATGTAAAGATGACAAAAATGAACCTTTATATATTTTTGGTTGAATTTAATATATATGTGTGGTTTAGTAAACAAATCTGTACTACATTCAACTAAATCAATGAATGAGACATACAGACTGAAACAGTTTCAAACATTTGGTATTCCATGGATCACTGACATACCGAGCAAAGGAACACTACAATTAGGAAAGTCTGCAGCTGAGCACAAATAGCAAAATACTAAAAAAGACACAAATTTTTAATCACATTTTGATTTATTACCTTGGTTTGTTAGGGGCAAGCTGTCGACTTGGCCGTCTAATAGACTGGTTTTGTTGTATCTTCATCGAAGTTCGAGGAGATGACCGTGCAAAAGGGTCTGGAGCTGGAGGCTTTTTAGGGATCTTTTTCACCAACCGACTAACCCATTTCTGCTGCTCTTCCGTAGAATTTGCTAACAACAACAGGTTCTTTGCCGTAGAGATATCATAATAAACTATAAAGAAATATTTGAAAAAAAATTAGTATGTCTAAATTCATCTGAACAATAATGATGAAGCAAGTAATTTATTATTCACCTTTGCAAGGCGCTATGATCTCCTCCTTTTTGTCCATGTGATCTTTATGACATTTAATATGGCAGCGCCGGCACTCTAAAGCAGGAGGAGGCTTGAACATATGCCACAGTGGCTTCATACAGGCCTCACAGTTGGTTGGGAAATGATAGAGAGTAGGAATAAATTCATGTCCTTTATGGCAAATATAGTTTGATTTTTCTCCCACTGGCTCCACTGGAAATTCCTGTTCCTTCTTACTTTCTCCTTCATTGGCATACAGAATCTATAGAAAGCAAAAAAAATAATGAATGATTGCCAACAGAAATTATTTTTTAAGTAGTAACAATTCTTACAGTGTCAATAAAATAATATTAGCCTAAAACATTCAATGAGAAGAAAATGCATTTGATGTTCAAACATTAGTAGGTTCTGTCTAATCAAGAGTTTCTATGAGAAAAGTCACTGGGACAGTCACTTGGCTCACATATCAAAAAAAACATGCCTACTTATTTTCTCCACAACAGCTATGTTTTAGCAATTTTTTAAAAAGATTTTATTTATTTATTTGACAGAGAGAGAGAGAATGAGAGAGAGAACATGCGAGGAGAGAGGTCAGCTGGAGAAGCAGACTTCCCACTGAGCAGGGAGCCCGACGAGAGACTCGATCCCAGGACTCCAGGATCGTGACCTGAGTTGAAGGCAGTTGCTTAACCAACTGAGCGACCTAGGTGCCCCAAATGACCTTTAAATGGGACTAAAATTGAAAGGTAATCTAAAGAAGGCCTAAGAATAAAGAAATTTGATATGTCTTATCACACCAAGAACCTCAGTCTAAAGGTGAAAAAAAAAAAACAAAATAAATTCAACTAACCAAAAACAAAATAAAGTTATTTACCTGAAATATCCTGGGAATTTCTTTAGCGTCTGCTCTATATACATCTGTCTGTGTAACTGGTCGGACATGAAATAATTTGCTATAAAAGATTTTTAATAAAGGAATAAAATATTACCAAAGGATCAAATTACATTGGTTACCCTATACTTAGGTCAGAAGTTAAAAGCAATGACTTTGACCCATGTTAGAAGGTCAGAGGATACACTGGTTCTTTTAATTCAATCACTCCTTGAGATTTTGAGTATTTCCAGGAAATCAGAAATTTTCTAGTTAGTTTCAGAGAACAACATATTAAAGACCCATAAAATATAGATGTTTTAGCTAACTCTATATCCCAGACTTTCATCTCTATGAAGCAAATACAAGAAAATGTAACAACAGTACAGTACAAGCTATATGAGTGTACCTATCTACATACTACAGTGAGTAATAAATAGCACTAATTTGACAAAAAAAGGTCACATAATTCTCTTATACTTTAAAAGACAAAGGTTCTAAATATTTTAATAAAAACACTTACTCTATATCTAAAACCATGTAAGGGTTAGATTGTTCTTTATCTTGTTCACTGTCATAGAAAAGAATCTTCTTACTGCTTACAATCACATACTGTTAAAGAGAGGGAGGGAAGGAATTAATGACTAAAGTTAATATATATCTTATTTATTTTCTTTAAAAACAAATTCTATAGCAATAAAAATTATATAAAATACTTAAGTTAAATAACTTAGAAGTTCTCAATATACTTTTAGGAAAGTCTTTCTTAAAATAACAATAAATTTAGTTTGCATACACATTAAATAAGCAAATTGGACAGGAAATGAATTCAAATATATTTTGGACTGACTTATCTTCAATCCAGTAACACAGGTAACCTTACTGCTATGGTTTGAAATGTCTGTGTCCCCCAAATTTTAATGTAAAACCCTAATACCTAATGAGATGGTGTTAGCGGGAAGGGCCTTTGGAAGGTGAATGAATAGGCCATGAGAGAAGAGACCTCCTGAATGGGATTAGTGCCCTTATACAGGGGCTCCAGAGAGATCCCTAGCTCCGTCCCCCTGTGAGAACACGGCAAGAAGTCTGCAATGTGAAAGAGGGCCTTCCCAGAATCCAACCATTTGGCACCCTGATCTTAACTTCCAGGCCCCGAACTGTGAGAAATAAATTTCTATTGTTCATACCCTAACCAGTCTGTTTTGTTATAGCAGCCTGAATAGACTAAGACATTTACCAAAAATGAACATCACAATATCAATAAATCATAGTAACAGAGGAAAAGAAATTATTAGGGCTTCCTGTCATACCCAGAGTTGTTTTCCCACTGAAACAGCAGAACACCAAGGCCAACCGACTTTTGTTTTCCTACCACCAAAACCTGTTTTATTATTATGATGATGAAAGGTTGTTTGTTTGTTTGTTTCTTCATAAAGATATACAAAATCACATCATTCCAAATCAGGAATACAAAGTTTTATGTGTCTAAAAGTTCTAGTTATATGTATATCTTACAACTACAAATGTGAAATGGCTATGGACAAACCAAAAGCAAAATAAAAGAACCATATTCAAAAGCACCATTTACCTTTTTAACCCATCCAAATTTCTTAGTGTTGTTTCGTACAGGTAATGAAAGCCATCCTTCTAGTCTTGATTCTATAAATAAGCAGAAGATATGAGGATAAATTTAGCAATTCTAAGAAAATGCACAATTCAATAAAATTTTAATATAAAAGTCACAGAACAAATCAAATATGCCTTTCAGGATTTATCACTATACGTTATCAAGGCTGTAATAATACTGCAGGGTGAGTATAAGCAAGTTATGAAATGCCAAACAAAATCCAGGTTACAGCACATTGAAAATATATGTTCTATAGCTTATAAAGTCAAATGCTTCCTGATGACTAAATCCATGCATCTGCGAAGTTGAACAGAAAAGGTACAAGAAAGAGAAGCAATTCTCTATTCTCACTAGTGCACCTGTATTAGAATTCTTTATTTTTCCTTTGGAAGAGGCCTATTTATTAATATAGTGCATATGTATCTTCTTCAAAGAGAAATCATTTTAAGTGAGTAATTACATGATCAGAGAAAGTGGATGTTTTAAATGGCTAAAATAAAATGAAATAAAATTGTGTAAATTACTGATCAAATCTGGTTAGTGAATAGCAATATAACTAAAAACATTTCTAAATTCCAAAATAGCAAAATCAGTAAAATTCTAGTTCAACAAAGGAAACTGCCTGAATCCTCAGAATTTGTTCCAGTGGCATGTGACCAGTACCATTTAATGGAATAATTAGGGGCAACAAGTATTTCTGGAAGTTATTCTGATAGTCACGTATTGAACTGTGCTGGATGCTTAACATCCATTTTCTTGAATTCTTACAACCCTACAGGAAGGCCACACAGGGATGCACCAGACTCCAGAACCTATACTCTCTCACATCAACAACCTTCCAGACTCTGTGAACAGAAATGCTGTCATTAAAAAGTCTATATAGTGTACCTGTCTGGACATGGTCCTATACCAGCTTAAGGGACCAAATCAGATAATCTGTAACAATGAGTACATATGCCTGGGCAATGTGACAACAAGGTAAATACAGCTATTTCACTTTGCATTCAGTTAGTAAGAGACTACATTTTACCTTCTATTCAACTGCTCATACACTAATTTCCTGTGGCATTTACATTAAACGTGGTTTGTAATTACATGAACTTCATGTTAAATAGAGATTTTATATGTTTTCCATCTAGTTTCTTCATTTAAAACTCTAAGTCCTTTTAGGGCAGAGACTGGGTCAAAGTGTCTTGAACTCTCTTTTAAGGCCTAACACAATGCAATGAAAACCTACATACACCTCTCAGTCTACGTGGTGTTTTTTGTGCTGTCACTCTTAACATGAAACTTCAGAAAGAATTTCTCGTTGGCTAAAAATGGATGACGCAGGCAATAAAACCAAATGCTCTTAAATGATATAAAGTCGACAAAATAAGTCTATCAAACGTAACAGCAACGCCATATGACAATACCTTTAAAACTTCTTTGTTCATGCAGCATTTTCTTTTTAACTGAGACCAGAACAATTTGTTAGAGTTAATGAACATTAGTTAATGTTACAAAGAAAAAAAGGGACTGAAATTAAGGGTAGCGGGGAAAACCTCAAAGGTGAAAAATTTTCAGGATATCACCTGTACCGTTAGGTTCCGATGAAATAGGTAAGTAAGGCAAAGATTCTTCTTCTGAGTCAGAATCAGGGTCAAGAAGCATATGAGAACTGGAAGGCTTAGTGGCAATATTGAGAGAAGTAGAGGAACGTTGGTAGGTGAATGACATGGATTCCATAGTGCGTGATTGAGTGATATGAACTAAACACCCAACATAAAAGGAAAGGAAGTAAGAATGCAGAAAAAAGAGAAAATAAAATGAAAATTTGAAAAAAGAGCTACCTATAATACATAAAGAGCTAATTTAAGTAACTAAATATGTGGAATTTTCTTTTGCATTTTTTTCACAAGAATTTTTGTCAAAAATCGAATATATAATGTAAGTTTAAATGACTGTTTGAAGCCCACCCCAAGGAGTATGCTTTTTTCTTAAAGAAGTGACAAACATTTTTCTCAGGAGCAGTCACTCTCAGGACTTAACACAATCAACTGCTTTATATTTAAGACAAAGTTTTTCAATAAAAAATAACGTAAGAGGTGAAGATAAGCCTATACCTGGAAATCCATCATCTGCCTCAGCATCCCCTGGTCCACTGCCGATACTGGAACTATCCAGACCGATGTGCAATGCTTGGAGCTGTGACCGCAGCTGCTCAATGTCACTATCTTTACTGTCCAGTGTCATCTGCAGTTCAATCCGAATCTGGCTCTCTTCAGCTATTTGCTACAAGAGATTAAATCATGTTAAATTAATTGGATACCAGACACCTCATAATTTTAATTCAGTAACAATTATGAAGTAATAGGAATGTTCTATAACCAATACAATAAAATACTTAAAATACTCTGCTTCTTAAAAAAAGTCTTCAACGTAGAGTTCAAGAAGTATTCTTACAGCCTGCATTTCGTTCAGTTCTTTCTGATACTTGATCATCTGCTGAGTCAGTTTTTCACGTTCAGATTTAAGCTCCATATGCAGCTTTCTGTTCTCTTTCTCTTTTCTCCTCACATCAGTGTCACTACCACGCTTGACGGGTTCTTTTCGATTCATGATCTCAGCCAACTTATTCACAGCCTTAAAAACAAAAATAAATAGGTAATCAAATAAAATAAATCGTACTGATGGTTCTTAGTAATTCACCAACAGCAAGTTATATGACCACTAATAATCTCCTTCCCTATACACACGGGGCAACGGAGAAATACTGTCTATATTAAATAATATATTGCCTTCGTTATTCTTCATCTTCTTCCAAATTACGTTAGTTTTTCACTCTCATGTTTTCTGAGAAATGTAATTTAAAATGTTTACAGGTTGGATCTGATGTCACTTTCTACAATTTTAAGTTTTTAGTTTCAAGAGAGACTTCTGCTAGGCAGGTCCACTTCTATTCTGGAGGAAGGAAACTTTGCATTGGCATCGTGTTAGTAAAACAGAGTAAGTCCAACCAGAGAACTGAGCATCTGGGACCCACAGAGATTCATGCTGTATATACACAGCCATAGAACTGGCAGAAGGATGGTTCAAGAGCCAAAGGGGCCTTTTCGGACTAACCCTTTCTTAGGCTGTCAGCAAATGTTCACTCAGTCATTTCTTAAGAGCAAAAGATTTACCAGATGACAATAAAAAATTAGGAGGGAATGTGATTTCACATGGAAAAATTACGGAACTTGAAGTAAACATTGAACTGAACAATGTTAGCCAAATTTAGCTGCGTGCAACCAGGTGAAAATGCCAATACACTCAATAACCACTACAGCTAATCTGCAGAGGGAGATGAACTAGATTTCAAAATCCTCTTTACATTGTGTCACACCTACTTGAGTTTTGAGTGTTCGCTCTGTGAGCAGCTGCTTCTCCAACTGTGCCTTAATAGCGGCTGCGCTGGTCTCCTCATCCTTCAGCCGTGACAGCTCTGAAACATGGGGTGTCAAGACTATATTAATAACTACAGCAACGAGAAAACACTAGGCAAATTTAAAAGCAACTTTATTCTTTGTTAATACATACGTTCTTGGGCATCTTTTAATTTGTTATTTAATTCTTCTTTCTCATTTGCAAGATTGGCGACATCACTAGTTAGTGTCCTGTTTGTTTCTTCAAGCTAAAAAATGAAAGTGGAAAAAAAATTATATCCCAATTTAAAAAATCTAAATTATAAAGCAATCATTCAAAATAAAAGTAGACTAGAATGATGCTAAAACTCTTATTTTTCTAAGTACATCTATCTCTACACTTTGTGGCTTTGTGGAACATTATGGAACTTCACTGATGAGAATTTTGCTAACCATCAGACTTCGTGAGTACCCCAGGAAGCCAAAACCTGCTCCTTCTCTCAAAAAGCCTTAGCAGCATTTTTAATGAGAAAAACACTTAATAAACTAAAAACAAACATTATAACAAAGCACTGTATTTCATCATCCAGAATAAACATATTTTAGGGTTTTTTTTTTTTTAATTTTATGTATAGTTATCTGACAGAGAGAGAGAGAGAGAGAGAGATAGAGAGAGAGCACAAGCAGGCAGAGCAGCAGGCAGAGGGAGAGGGAGAAGCAGGCTCCCTGCTGAGTAAGGAGCCTGACATGGGGCTCAATCCCAGGACCCTGGGATCATGACCTGAGCCAAAGGCAGAGGCTTAACACACTGAGCCACCCAGGCGCCCCAAACAAATTTTAAAATGGTAGAATTTCTTTCAGAATATTTTATTTATTTAATTTTTTTTTTTTCAGTGTTCCAAGTCAGAATATTTTAAAACAAAATAAAATTTTACTAAAGAAGCTGACATCCTTGTTTATTATTATCACAAATCCTACTCCTACTCTTCTTTCCCACCCAAAAGAAACTGTATTATGAATTATGTATTCATACTTCTCACCCATGACTATACAGTTTTCTTACAAACACATAAAACAATAAAGAGTGTGGTTTTGTGTGATTATAAATTGTCCATAATCACACTGTATCTTTTTGTAACTGCTTTCACTGGACATTATATTAATTAAACTGTTGACTATAAGGATCTTAATTTATTTTAACTGAGCCAGAACTTCCACCTTCTACCTCATTTCATTTATCTATGTATTCGTCTATGGTTAAGACATTTGAATTTTGGAGGCACCTGGTTGGCACAGCCACCTAAGCATCTACCTTCAGCTCAAGTTAAGATCTCAGGGTCCTGGGATTGACCCCCAAGTCTGGCTTTGCTTAGCAAGGAGCCTGCTTCTCCCTCTCCCTCTGCCACTCCCGCAGTTTGTGCTCTCTCACTCTCATCTCTCTCTCACATAAATACATAAAATCTTTTTTTTTTTTTTAAGATTTTATTTGTTTATTTTTTTGGCAGAGAGAGACACAGTGAGAGAAGGAACACAAGCAGGGGATTTGGTAGAGGGAAAACAGGCTTCCTGCGGAGCAGGGAGCCCGATGTGGGGCTCAATTCCAGGACCCTGGGATCATGACCTGGGCTGAAGGCAGATGCTTAATGACTAAGTCACCCAGGCACCCAATGAATAAAATCTTTTAAAAGAAATAAAATAAGAAAATAAACTTCCACATATCCTTAAGAACCACCCTCTCAGGTCCCCTCCCTGTTTGGGAGCTTTGTACTACTAATGATAAACTAAAGTTTATCATTCAATAAACTTCACTTTGGGGCACCTGGGTGGCTCAAATGGTTTTAAGCGTGTGCCTTTGGCTCAGGTCATGATCCCAGGGTCCTGGAATAGAGCCCCGCACTGGGCTCCCTGCTCAGTGGGGAGCATGTTTCTCCTCTCTCTCCCTTTGGTGCTCCCCCTAATCTGTCAAATAAATAAATAAAACCTAAAAAAAAAAAAAAAAGACATTTGAATTTTTGCTATTATAAACATTTATGCTGCTATGAAAACTGTGCCTAAATTTCTCCAGCATATTTATCATAACACAGACTTTCTTTAGATTATGTGAACATTGAAACTTTCATATTTTGAATATTGAAAATACTTAAATAATAAATACTTAAAGTTGCCATACCACTTACTATACTATGCCACCTACATTTACACTCTCCATAGTTGTAAATAAGAATGTCAGTTCCCACATGTCTTTCAAACACTTGAAGTTAGTGAGATACTTAATTTTGCCATTATAATGAGTATGAAGTGGTATTTCAAAGCTATTTTATCCAGCCTTTCCTAAATACTAGTTAGATTAAGCATCTGCTTATGTTTTTAGGGTTTCCTCTTTTGGCCCATTTTTCTTCTGTATTGTTTAACTTTTTCTTCATGAGCTTGAAGGAGTGCCACACGTGTTCCTGATACTAGCCCTTGTTTAATGAATACATTACAAATATCTTCTCCCTCTAAGTTGTTTGTTGTCTTCTGCTATAGTAAGTTTTAGATTTCATTCTAATTGTTTAAAATTTTTCTTTTTCACATTTAGATCTTTATGATAGCTAGAATTTGTGCTCACTTCGGCAGCACATATACTATGATAGCTAGAATTTATTTTTGTTATGTTGTAAAAGGTAAGGATCTAACTGTATTCCTTTCCCTTTAAAAAGAAAGTCATCCCAAACCATTTATTACAACTAAATCCTTTCCCAGCAATGTGTCTATTTCCACCACAAGCATCTATCACATTCCTGTATGTGCAAGAATCTGGTTCTGGCCTCCCTACTCATTTCCACTGAACGGGATTAAATATCATTGTTCTAATACCACACTTTTTATCCACTATAGCAATTTAATAACAGATTCAACTACATGATACTTTACTTCTCTTTGAAATTTTCATTACAATTTTTTTCAACCTGCATAGGAGTACCTTCATGGTAGTTTCAAGATTCTTTTCAAATAAACTTTGTTTAACAAGAAGAAAAAGGCTTATACCGTTTCTGTGTCTGGTATTTCCCTTTCACTTTAGTTCTTTCACTCTGAATTTACCAACAGGTAGACCCACTGGAAGTAGTTCTTTTTTGAGCCTCTGTCTGCCAAACACTGAGAAGCTAATGTTCACTGGATCCAAAATCCTACAGCTGGCATGTTAAGATTTTTCATTTCCATCTGTAGTATCTTCCCTGGTGCTTTTAAGGAAGACTGATGATAAAGTAATTTAATTAAAATAAAAAAAATTACTAGATATTTTACTTACAGATGCAATTGTAGCATCTTTTTCAGTGAGTTCCTGTTTGTGTCTAGCCATCATCTCTTTGATCTCAAGCTCCTTCATGATTTTCTCTTTTTCCAAATCAGAATACTGCTCTTCAGCAATTGAACGAGCCAGCTGCTCAGAATCTGCTTTGGTCAAGGTGATCTCCAGTTGAGCAGCCAAGGAGTCCCTACGTTTTAATGATACATTATTTTAATGTCCAATTTTCATTAGGAAGTCAAAGTTTTTGTCTAATGTACTTCATCAACAAATTCTTACTTGCACTATTGTAGGTAGGCATTGTTGTAGAAGAGAACATGACTATGAACAAAAGATACAAGGATCGTAGCTTTACCTTTCCTCCTGTAAGTCCTGTTTCTTCTGTTGTAATTCTTTACAAAGTTTGGTCTTTTCTTCACATTCTTCTTTAAGTTCCCTCACCTGTGTTTTATAGAGGGTCTAAATAGCAAAAGAGAACAGAAACATATCATTGCCACCACTACCACCATCATCTTCATCATCAATTTTATTTCTAAATTCAAAGTCTATCCAGACAAAGTCAAGTTGGACACATACAAATATGTTCCTGAACACTGAGCAATGTTGGGCCCTTGAGCAAATTAATAGTGAATGAGCCTTTCTGGTAAATCAACCAATTAACTAATTGAAGTTCCACTAACAATTTAGAAGATAGATTTTCAACTGGATATCAGACTGAGGTTTCTCATTAAATGACACAGATAGGCAGAATCAATAAAGAGGCAAAAAGATATTACTAATCTAGACAAAAAAAATTCTTGTTAGCTTAAATGAAATACAGGGGACATTACTACTTATTTTAAAACCAATCTAAAAAAGTACAAACATTAAAATGACAATTTTTTTTTCACTATGAAAATTCTACCTCAAAAAGCAATCATTTAAAAAAAAGCAATCATTTTTCCTATTATATGTTAATAAAAAAATGACTCAAAAAATCAGCTTGAATAGAAAGAATTATTAGGGGAAAAAAGCAATCATTTTTTAATCAACTTCATAAAGTATGTACTTAGAACTATATTTCTAGCAATGATAATAGGCTTCTGTTAAGCTACCAATAGTCATTTGCCCACTTGTTCTTTTTATATGAATTGTGTAGAACAAAACAACCTACCCAAATCCCTGTCTGGTGTTTGCTCTAAGAATCTATTCTAAAGACAAGACTCTTTCTAGTTCTGCAGCAAAAAACTTTTTTAAATTCTACAAAGATGATAATTTTCAAATTAATGTATCCGGAACTTACTGAGAAATACTGCTCTGCTTCAAGCTGATCCTGAAGTTCTTTCATTTGCCCGTCCGCATCTTGACGTTCTCTGTGGGGACATCGAAGAAAAGGTTCAAATAAGCTATACACAAAATAAATAAGCAACTCTTGAAATGTGGCCGAGGGAACCACTGGGCATCCCTGGATCCTTAAAAAAAAACCAAGAAGTCAAATTATTTAAATAATACTAATCATCATTGCATTGTTGTTTTAATTCTCATTCTCTCAGGAGTGTGTATGGACTTTTGAAGTTATAGAACATATAATGATTCATCACTCCAACAGCTAATGAATGAAATGTGTTTTGTATGCTGTGTTTTGAAATTTTGTTTTAATTTCTAACACAAAAAATATCATTAGATATAACTGACATAAATAAAAATTTGTATAAAGGCATCCTAAACCAAATAGTGATTAAAGCAGTAATACTAATTTACATAGCCTCAACCATTCACTGTGATCAGCCATTTCTGCCAACCAAGTAGGAGAATTAAAAGAACACCTGAAAATCGGTTATCTTAGGATGAGTGAAAAAAATGACAGGGAGGGAAGGAGTGCTCATTTTTATGTTTAAATGTGGATGTTAACTACACAGATCTATATGTTTTGTAAAAATTCATTGATCTCTACATATCATTTATGTTCTTTTTTCTGTATATATATTAATCTTCAATAAAGCAATAAAGTTAAATAAAAAATAAGTAAAATAAAAAGCAAGCCCAACAACACATTTAAGAGGTTGGGTTGGAGTAAGTTAAACTCTAGGGTTACCAAAAAAATAAAAATCACAATTATTCCAACTCAAAACTAAGAGGGAAAAAAGCAAGCTGGAGAACAACACAACATATACAATACAATTAAAAAACAACACCCCCCCCCAAAAAAAAAACTAAAAAAACCTCATCCCTGTATACACTTAAAAGGATGTATATAGTAGAGACAAAGAAGGAGGTATGGAAGGATAACGAACAAACTGTTATATTATGTTCTCTCTGGAAAGATGAACTATACTTGCATTCGTAAGGGGGAACATGGGGCACCTGGGTGGCTCAGTTAGCATCCAGCTCTTGATTTCTCCTCAGGTCACGATCTCAGGGTTGTGGGACTGATCCCAGTGTCAGGCTCCATGCTCAGCGGGGAGATTCTGCAGATTCTCTCTCTTCCCTCTCCCTTTGCACTCCCCACCCCAATATGTGCTCACTTTCTCTCTCTCTAAAATAAATAAGGGGCGCCTGAGTGGCTCAGTCAAGTGTCTGTCTGCCTTTGATTCAGGTCATGATCTCAGGGTCCTGGTATAGAGCCCTGAATCGTCAGGCTCCCTGCTCAGCAGGGAAGCAGGCTCTCCTCCTGCCACTCCCCCTGCTTGTGTTCTCTAGCCTTCTTTCTTTCTCAAATAAATAAAATCTTTGAATAAGTAAACCAATCTTTTAAAAAAATAAAGGGGAGTATATACTGTTTTCTCTTTCTTTTTAAATACAGTTCTGAGTATTTTACAGGGAGAAAACATTTGAATGCCACTTGGAATATTCAAAAATATATACAGCAAGAAAGACTCAGATTTAATAATTTAATCATACTCTTTTCAATCCGTGTATTACTTAAAGCTTTTATTCTTATTCTCACTTAAGGTAATTTGGCCACTTTCTTTACTTCTTGGTTCTTAAAACATTGATAAAAAGGAAGTAATCACTCAATATCACTTGTCTGTGTTATATCTGTGTTTTATTATTAAGGCGTGTACTATTAAACATGATGATTCTTATTTTTCTGAGTCAAAAATGTGAAAGAAATGTACATATAAAATATAAAAGGTCCATTTTTAAAATGATCTCATCATTACCAGTTAAGCCCAATTGCAGCAAACCTCAGTAGACTTTTAAATCATGAACTTGACAAGCTGCTATTATTCCTTTATATATAACTTTAAAAAACTAACATTGACCAGGCATTTAAGAAAGTATTTTTTTAAAAAATAACCACACAGTATGCACATGGTTACAATTAAGCAGTACAGAATAGCACAGAAAAAATTACAATGAAAAAGCAGCAGTCTCCTTACCCTAATCATCCTCCTTAGCCTACTCCTACCACCCCAAGAGGAATTTCCTTTATTTCATTTCTGTGTTTTGTTCTTTTGACAGTTACCTCCACATCTCAGCTTATTTCTGGACACAAATTTAAAATATTACTTACCAATTCTCTGCTGTCAGGGTACCAAGTGAGCTCTTACCATCCCTAACCTCTCCCCACCCCTATAATACAGTTATATCATTGGCCTCAGCCACATAACCACGCTTTACTTCATACTGCATCAACCGTAAACCACAACAACCCCCGACCCCCGCGCCAGTTTTTGATGAGAACTGCAACACTCCCATCCTTTCTTTTGTTTTTGAAATTTCATGAGAAAATGTCTAAATGTGGGTCTTTTCTTACTTATTTTCTGAGTCCTTTCAATCCAAAGACTTCTCTTTCAGCCATGGGAAACTGTTTTCTATTTCTTATTTTTAAAAGATTTTATTTACTTATTAGAGAGAGAGAGTGTGTGAGCACACATGAGCAGGGAGAGGAGAAAGAGAAGCAGACCTCCCCTGCTGAGCAGGAAGCAGGACTTGGAGCTCAATCCCAGGACCCCGAAATCATGACCTGAGCTGAAGGCAGACACTTAACCGACTAAGCCATGCCGGCACCTCTATTATTTAATAACTTCCTTCACTTGGTTTCTCTAGACTTCTTTGTCTGGTGCTAGAATTCCTGGGACCAGTCTCTGTGTCTTACCTATTTCTCTCATAACTTCCATGTCACTCCCTTTTGTTCCATGTTTGATGAAATTTCTTTGAATTTTTCTTTGAACCATCCTAATAAATGTATATCAGTCATTTTTAACATTTGACAGCTCTTCCTATTCTGGCTGCCCTTTTTGCATTATGTCAGGTTCTTGTTTATTGGAAGTAGTATCTCCTAGAAGTTTTGATCAATACTACTTATTACCAATAGGCTTTTTTTTGGTTTGTGCTTCTTTTGTTAATTTCTCTTCCTCCCTTGATATATTTTTCATCTGGGGATATGTTTCCTTTTTCTTTATCATAGTCTTTATCCTTAGTCCTGCATACTATCCTCAAATGCTAGTGATACTTGGTTATTCACTTACAAAGGAGGTGGTATTTTAATTTTAATTTTAAATTTTACTCTCTATGCATGTGGAAGCGGATTTCTAACTGGCAAACTTCAGTTTAAGATGAGAGGTTTAAAAAGCCACATAAGCAGGAGGACTCCTAAAAGGCAAAATGAGAACTTAGTCCATACTAGCAGTTCTAATTCTCTGCAGAGGATATGCCCAATTTCTATAGAGGGACTGCTCTGTAGGAACCCAAGTAGTGGTAGTGCCTGGCTACAGACATTTCTGCAAGGGTTGGTGGGAAGAGTATGATCAGCAGATTGTTCCACTTATAGCATCAGATCTTACTCTAGCCCTTCAAGGTACTTGATTTGAATAATGAAACATTTTCTTCTTCACTAATATCCCACTTCATACATACTCCTTGCTGTTGCTTCCCTTGTCCTATACATCATTAGCGAGGTTTCCACTTGCCATAACCTCTTTACTAAAGAAACTTCTAATCTTCCAATCCATTGTAATTCTTGATAAGTGTTTATGCATTTTAAAAAATTCCCTTACTAAAGGTTTTACTGGCATCTTGGAAGGAAGAAAAGACACACATGTTAACCATTTTCAAATGCAAGCCTACATAACAATTGATATGTAAATTCCCACTGCATGAATGTATCATTTTATCCTGGTACTTCACTTATGTACCCATTTTACCTCTCCTGAAGGAGTAACTTCTGACAAAATGCTACTAAGATTCTTAAAGGTAGGAAATGTAGCTGATTCATCTTTGAATCTCCCATAATGACTATAAGTGCCTTACATATTCATACAACATTGGAGAATGTACTATGTGCAAGACATTAATCAGGGGTTGGAGAGAACAAAACATAAAAAAGAGATAGTTGCCATTCAGGGAACTTATAATGTACTACATGGTTAAGACAACAAATATGAGTTCTTTGGAGATAAGGAGTTAGGAACTGAGGAATTAAGAAACAACAGATCCATGTGTACTTACAAAGAAACAAGGGGCATATATACTAAGTACTATAAATTTGGAATAAACAAAATGTAATTAGAACAACAGAGGAAACACAATCTAGATGTTTAATCAGCTCTTACATTCATATAACCACTATGGCTAGAAGAGATACTATGGATACTACAGACACAATGGAGAATATCTATTTAGTCAAGTTGTTTTAAGGGTCCACAGCTTGCACTCTTAACCAAAACTGGGCCAATGAATTCCATCCTAGAACTTTGGGTACTTTCTGGAATTGGGGTCCAGAAAAGTAGTATCAGAGTCTCTCCAAATAAATGAAGCTATAAGGCATATCTCTAGAGCCTTTCTTGAAAGACCAAGTTTTCTGTTAAATGGAAAAAGCTAGGTCTAAATGGGAGAAGAATATAGCTAATATATAGGGCAAACAAACAAAGATGAAGATCCCTAAATATTGTTCAAGTTTCTAGTTCTAATTTTCAAAAGTTGAAATCTCATCAAGTTTAAGAGTCCAGGTTTACCCAGGCAACAGATCAGCAAAAAAAACCCCTCAAAATCTTTTTAATCATCCTTTCCTAGATCACGTCAATATTTGAATGCTTGACCATCCTTTAATAAGTAGTGTCAATTTTATTGACCGGTCACAGGTATGTAAAAAGCAAGCAATTAGCAATGATGATGATAAGAGAGGAATAGTAGTAGTAGTATAGCAGGTTATAGATACATATTTTTAAAGATTTTAATTATTTGTCAGAGAGGGAGAGAAAGAGAGTGCATGTACAAGCAGGGGGAGTGGCAGGCAGAGGGAGAAGCAGGCTCCCCACTGAGCAGGGAGGCCAATGTGGGACTCCAGCCCAGGACCCTGGGATCATGACCAGAGCCAAAGGCAGATGCTTAACTAACTGAGCCACCAAGACATCCCTGCAGTACAGCAGTATTAACAGTAACAGCTGTACTAGTAATGGCCCCTACCGTTTATTGTGTGCTAGATACTGTAAATGTATCATTGTCATCCTTTCAGAATGCCTAACAAGGAAGCTCTTACTGCCCCTTTTTGTAGATTTTACCAAAAAAAGGCTCAATGAGGAGGCACTTGGACGGTTCAGTCAGTTAAGTGTTCCAACTCATGATTTCAGCTCAGGTTATGATCTCAGGGTCCTGGGATTAAGCTCTGCATTGGGCGCTTAGCGGGGAATCTGCTTGAGGATTCTCTCCCTCTGTCCCCACCCGCTCACACTTTCTCTCTCTCTCTCTAAAATAAATAAATAAATCTTTTTAAAAAAGGCTCAGAGAGGTTAAATATTTTGCCTGATGTTGGTCAGCTAGTAAGTAATGGGACTGGAATGCCTATCTCTCAATCTGTATCCAAAACCTATGTTCTCTCCAAATAACGGAACCAATAGGAGCTTTGAGCATGATTCAGAAGTAATTATACTACTAATGACCGAATGGGACAAACTTTAATGGTATATGTTCACCTTGGAAGGATTTTAAGACTGTTTTCTATTTTCTAAGCAAATTAAGTAAAATACTAAAGTATATCATAAATGATTTAAAAATTTGTATGTTTGTTTAATAATCAAACATGTCCAAGTCCCAGAAACTGAAAGAACAAACAGAAAGCACATGGACAATAAGCGTGAAGAGCGGTTCTGAGAAGGACTCTTAAGAGCATGAAGTGAAAATCCCAGACAGTTTCTTCTACTCCAACAGCAACATTCTATCATTATATCATAATAAGGTAGAAGAAGTAAAAAAATCACTGGGGAAGCAAAGATAATCTTCTCAAAGGACAACACTGGCACTCAACACATTACTTATAGAGAAAAAAGGAGCAAATGTGATCAAGACTATGACATGATCAAAAGAAAATCCCCAGGTAAATCAAAATTAAAATAATTTACATTATAAAACTCTGTTAATAAAACTCTGTCTCAAACAATTTACTTACTTTCGAAGTTCAGCATTCTGCTTTTCCAAGCTCATTTTCATTTCCATGAGATGATTATTTTCTTGTTTTAACTGCTTTTCTGACATTTTTAGTGTGTTAACTTGCTGTGTTTGCATCTTCAAGTCATTTTGTGTAAGGCAGCGCTTCTGAGTTTCCTGCTCTATTTTTAATGTCAAATTTCTAACCTAAAAAACAAATTGTCTACTTGATAAAAGTAATGATTTGCTTTTTCTTATCAATGAAGCTTGCAGCAAATATGATCATGCAAAACAGACTTTTTCCCTTAGGCACTTAATTCATTTCACGGTAAAATAGTTTTTGTTATTTCTCATGTCCTATTTTTTAAAATAAAATATGATCTTTAAGGTAAAAATAACTTAAAATTTTTAAAATTATGATTCACCACTTAGCATACTGGCCAAATTCAGTACAATTAAAGGTTGCAGAATATTTTATAAGAAAAAATTTTAAATTATGAAACCATCATTGTACATCATTACAGATAAACCTAAGTTGACTATGAATTTATTACATAGTTTATTATACTTCTTAGTAAACTTAGTACTCACATCCTCATTTAGCACATCTTTCTGTTTAAGGAGTTCATTTATTTTCTGCTGTGACTGTTTGAGGTCACAGTCAAATATGGAGCATCTCTTCTCAGCTTCCAGCAACAGGTTCTCCACTTTCTGCTTTAACGTCCTTTCCTCCGAGAGCTTTTTCTCCATTTCTATTGCCACAAAAATGGACACAATCATGAATTCACAAACAAAAGAAGCCTATCAAATACATGACACAGTGCTATAGAAATGATAGCAAACGATGATAGCTTAAAAACATTTTTTTAAATTTCCAATTTAATATTTTCATTACTCCTCTTAATGAGTTTCAAATGTCAACTTTTATGCTTGGAAATCAGGCATTTATTTCGTTTGCAGTGTGGAAAAATCTACCACACTGCAATATTATATCCATTCCACTGGAAGTAAAATAATTCTGCCTTCACTGATGGTTCTAAAAAAGAGACTTACATCTTTTTAGTAAAGATTTATTTATTTTTCTGTTACTCTGTGCCTCTCGGTGTTACTCTTCTTACCCTAAAACATTCCAGGTAGACTTTTTAGGTCTATGGCTCTTTCCATATTAGCATATTAATATGCAGAGGATGACAATTATATTTTGGGGAAATGGTAAAGGACAAGACTCTGGGACCAAACTTCCTGAGGTTAAACTCTAACATGTCCTAATTATTTGCCTAGGCAAGTTAATTAACCTCTCTGAGGCTCAATTTCCTCATCTCTAGAATGATGATAATAGCACCTATCCTCCCTCACACGGATGTTATGAAGAGTCTTGGTTAATATTTGTGTGGCACTTAAATGCTGCCTAGCCCATGACAAGCATTTGGTAAGCGCTTACTATTCAAGGAGAATGTTTAATGACTGGAGGAGAATGTTCACAGTATTATTTTAGAAGAAAAAAAGCAGAACAGTATAAAAAATTCAGAAATGTACAAAATATCTTCTTGATTAGTAAGACTGTGGTTAATCTTTACTTCTTCATACTTTCCTGTATTTTCTAAATGATTTGCAATAAACTTTTAATTGTTTTATTAATCAGAAATGGCTTTTAAAAACCTTTTTTTTTCCCCCCCAAGATTTTATTTATTTGAGAAAAAGAGAAAGAGTATGAGCAGGGGGCAGGGCAGAGGGAGAAACAGATTCCTTGCTGAGCAGGGAGCCAGAGACAGGGCTCCTTCCCAGGACCCTGCGATCATGACCCGAGCTGAAGGCAGACACTTAACCAAATGAGCCACCCAGACAATCCTTTTTAAATCTTGAAATGAAAAGTAGGCAAGGTCTGTGTCTAAGCAAGTGATTTTGTATTAAATACCAGTAATTACCATTAAAGAAATTACCTTTTGATGTACTGATTAGAAAATCTATTCAAATTCAATTGGTCTCCTCTGCTCTTTCATATCTAATGCCTGATATCTGATTATCATTTATTATAGTAATATAAACCTATGATTTTCAGTTTTTAATGAACTGTCTTCAAAAGTGTGGAAAATGGACACCTGGGTGGCTCAGTTGGTTAAGCGGCTGCCTTCGGCTCGGGTCATGATCCCAGCATCCTGGGATCAAGTCCCACATCAGGCTCCTTGCTCGGCCGGGAACCTGCTTCTCCCTCTGCCTCTGCCTACCACTCTGTCTGCCTGTGCTTGTGCTCTCTCTCTCTCTCTCTCTCTAACAAATAAATAAATAAAATCTTTAAAAAAAAAAAAAGTGTGGAAAAAATGAAACTTCTTCACATTCTACTAGTAACAGCTAATATTTCTAAGTACTTTTCCCCTATCATTTACTCGATTTTCACAACAACCTAATACTGTCTCTTTAGAGGAAAAATGCACTAAAAGAAAAAAAAAAGATAAATAACTATGGACAAGGTCACATAACTAGTAACTCATTAGTAAGCCATATTCTTAATCAAAGGAAGCCATGATATGCAGTAGAAAGAACAAAGGCTTTTAGACCCGGACATGGACAGATGTACTCATTATTTCTGCAACTCAGAAGCCAACCTTGTCAACAATGAAAAAAAAACAAAAACAAAAAACAACACCACCCCCCCAACAATTCACCCTAATGTGGGCACAGAGAATAGAAAGGGGCACAAGTGAACTTACTGAGTAAGTGAACTTACTCTGAAAACATAGATTCTACAACTTGTTTTGAATGGTGGTTACATGTGTATATTACAATGTGAAAATAGTGTCTGCATTTTATTGCACCTAAATTATACCTCAAAAGAAATTGAACTTTATCTTCTAAGCCACTGATAGGGAAACATGGCCCACTAACTTCCTCTCTTGTAATCAGATTTTTCTAACTAAAGCACTCAATCAATCTCAACATCCTTAATTAGTACCTTATACTAAACTGATTTTAACCAAAAAATCTCCAATTTCAATTACATTCAATAATTGAAAACCTATTTTTTTGCTAAGCTATTCATAAATGTTATGCTTCAGTATGAAATAAAATTCCTGCTTAAGTGTTCTATGAATCTGTCACAAGAGTATTTTATTAATTTCCCATGGAACTTCAAATCCATCATAATTATAAGCAGTCAGGAAAACAAGAAATTATCCTAAGACAATTCCAAGATACATACTGGTTTGTGGAAAAGTCAGCTCTGCTATCTTACCCTATATTCCTTAGTAGTGGATAACACTGACCAAATCTAGCTGCATCTTCATCATGCCAGAGTTCAAAATATTCAATGAGCTTATATTCTCGTTAGGCCAGGTACTATTTTTTGAAACATTTATTTTGCATAAACTGCCAACAATTTTACTATACAAACTGGTGAAATGTCAAACTAAATATTACAGAAAGAGGAAATCCCCCCAAATCCGAATAGATAGATCTAGAACCTTATGCTCTGTGTGCCTGTTACTATTGGTTCCAGTGAAATATTAATTTCTCTCTGATCCTTAAATTTGGTTGAGTAATTTTGTGTTTGGGCCTTACTATCTTAGAAATGATTGTTGCCATAAAGGAAAAAAGTGATGTAAAGCTTCCCTAATTGTTTTTTCTCTCCAGTTCCCAATATTTGACAATAAAATATTAAAAAATGTTTTTCCAAAATCGAAGAGTTGACTACAGAATCAATTCTTAGTACAATGCTGCAGCAAAACCCTTAGAAAAAAGCATACCTTTCATGGCTTCTGATTTTGCTTCTTCAATGGATTCATAAATCTTATTTTTATCTGCCAGCCGTGCTTTTGTAGCCTTATGCTCAGCTTCTTCTTGTTCCAAGCTCTGCTGTATAACTTTTAGTTGGTACGTCATATCTATTTCCATGTTGTTCTTTTCCTATTAAACATTTAAAATAGCAACTATCAACAAAAAAGACTGGCTCACAATTTCAAAGACTTATAAAGTTGTTTTTTACAGACTAAGAATGTTTAAAACCTTTCCTCCCCTCTTCACTCGAACACTGTATAAAATGATCCATGGAATCCACCTCCCATGGCACCCACATCCCATCTCTCCACTCTACACTGGAGATCTACACTGAGAGCCTTTTATCTCAACAGAGTAACTGATATTCTCAACATCAGATTCAACAAACACTTTTCAGTTTTTATCTCATTTAGACTCACTGTTGCCCCTGAAACTATTTCCTTGACATACCTGACACTGAACTCACTTGCTGTTCTCATCTTTTATGTCACTTACAAAGTTTTCCCCCAGCTGCTCCTTGAATGCTGGTGTTCTCTGGAGGTAATATTCTTCAGCCACAAAGCTTCTCCCCTTCCTATATCATTATTTCTCACTTTTAAAACATATCCAATATATATCTAAAGATAAATTTTCAGGATTCTCTACTATTTACCCTCTTATACTCCACATAAAGAGACTTGCTTTAAGTTGGGAATCTTTAATAACAGATGTCAATTTCTATATATCCTCAAAAAGATTTTCTAATTCTTTGTTCTCTATAGTTTGTATCATAAGTGTAGATATTTCTTTTATTTTTCAAATAAATCTCCAATCCTGAAAATGATTCTTTCAATCTGCCCTGAAAAACCACTGCTCTAACCAATCTCTTCCCAGACAGGTTCTTTAATTCATAGGCTTTAGCACTTCTGTACCAAAGACTCTCAAGTATTTCTAGCTTCAACAACCAGTTTACTGATGTTGTAAACATCCCAATTCGGCTGACTCACACCTCAAACTTAGGACGAAAATGGATTTGTCATTGTCTCTTCTAAGAGCTGTTTACCTTTATTCATTGTAGTTAGCGGTACCATTATATATCTTGTCACAAAGGAGGAACCTAGAACTCATCCGTACTAAGTACCACACATGCCTCATCTAATCAATCACTAAGTGCTCCCAAATATTCTTCCTCCAAACATTTCTCACCTTAATTCCCATCCTTTTAACCACTGTACTAGTTAATTCTCCATTATCTGAGTTACTGAAAAAGCCTCTGACTAATCTCCCTACTACCTCTTATCATGTCCTCCCCTCAAATTTATCCTCTACATGGTACACAATGATCTATCTTAAATGCACCTCTAGTAAGAGCACCCAATTTAAAGTCCTTCAGTGGTTAGTCCGCTACCTAGAGAAACTAAGTTTAAGAGAGTATTCAAAATCTTACATGATCTAGATCATTCTGGTCACTGAATTCCTCACACTAAGCATTAGGACCATACCGCTGTCTTCAGGCCAATTTTGGTCTGATGTCTATTTTTGTAAAATTTCACTGGAATATAGCCGCACCTATTCCTTTATGTGCTACAGTAGAGCTGAATTGCAACAGAGACCATTTGGCCTTCAAGTCCTGAAATATTTATTGTGTCTTCCTTAAAAGATTAAAATTTGTTGACTCCTGCTCTGTACTCCAGAAATATTGGGCAGTTTGCATTAAATAAACCAACTATGCCTTTTCTATTTTCCATCCTCTGTAACTTTTGCTCATGCTGTCTTCCCCAACTCAGAATGTGCCTTTACCCAGCCAACCAATCCTGCCCTGTCAGACGGGGCCTTTTCTTCTGTGCATCCAATATACCCTGTTCATTCTTCTAGCATTCTATGTACCATGCTGCATTAGAATTATCTGTGTACCTTATTACTTTAGAAGATACTCATCAGATTGTGAGACTTTTTAAAATTAATTATTTTCTTTTTTTTAAGTAGGCCCCATGCCCAACATGGGACTTGAACTCATGATCTTGGGATCAAGAGTCACGTGCTCTACCATCTGAGCCAGTCAGGTACCCAACTGTGACATTGTTAAAGGCAAGCAAGGACTATATCCTGTATTTCTACCACAGATGACACATTTAAATACTTAAATGAATAAATGACACATTTAAATACTTAAATGAATAAATAAATAAATAACAAAAACACCACATTAACTGCACAGAGTCTGGAAATTATCCCTGGCTTATAGTATTTTTAAGAATAACTTGTAAATGCCAAAGCCATGATAACTTTCTATCATTTTTAAGACATATTCTAAGTCAAAATTTGAGTTTTCCTTGGATCCCTAGGGAGAAACATCCACTGAAAGCATTCTGATTTCTCTTATTTTTCTTTTTTTTTTAAGATTTATTTATTTATTTGAGAGAGAGAGAGCACACAAGCAGGGGCAGAGAGAAAGGGAGAGGGAAAGGGAAAAGCAGACTCCCCTGTTGAGTAGAGAGACCGATGTGGGGCTCAATCCCAGGACCCCAGGATCATGACCCAAACTGAAGGCAGACACTTAACCAATTGAGCTACCTGGGTGTCCCTGATTTCCCTTATTTTAGAGTAAGTTTTCCAATCTGATACTTTATAATCATTTCCTTAAAAATATATAAAGCTGAACATGTTTTACCTTTTCCAAATCAGTAAGTTTCTCCTGTAGTTGTCTCTTCTCCATCTCTGCTTTTGCTAATAAGGTTTTGCCATTCTTTAAATCTTCTTCTAGGCCAGATATTCTGCCTAAAATTGCAACATTTTAAAAACAATAAGCCCACAGAGTATGTACATATTAAATTAAGAGTAAAAAATTTTAAAAGTCACCTCATAGTTTGGAGGTATTATTTATGAGTTTTTTTAATTGTTGGTAGAGTGCCTTATAATGAAGTCAACTGAAAATCAAGGGGCTAGTTTGACAACTTAAAATATTTCACACTATTTTAAAGTAAACCTTCTATTCGTAAAAGTTTGTATCGATGCATTTCCAACACCCTAACTTCACATAACAGAGCAGTATATTCAGAAACGTGCTACTCCAAGACATTATCCATCATCAAAAGTTATTGCCAAAATGCAAATCATCAAGATGAATTCAAGTGTAATCTCTACTTTAATACCTTGCAAGTCATTAATTATCTCGGATCCATGGGTTCGGTCCCTCCTTTCAGATTCTAGAACTGACTGAAGATTGATAAATTCCTTTTCGAGTTTTAACTTGGCAGTCTCCAGCAGGCAATTTTTATCTTGAAGATCTCTATTGTTAGATTCCAGCTGCTGAATCTGTTTTGAACTTTCTGCCTGGGTTTTTCTTAATCGGGCTGCAGTATCAGATTCTGTTCTCAGCAAAGCATTGGTTTCATCCAGCTGATATTCCATTCAAAATCAAACAAACAACAACAAACACAGGCATATATAATGAAAATATTTCCATTTAGTACCTCATTACAAACTATTTAAAATAAGAAAAAAAAGTAAAAATATTTTCCTTATGATTTCCCTTTAAAATGAGAGGCAAAGAAGGCCTTTTTGTAACATTGCCAACTAAAAGTCTTATTAATAAGTCATTAAGAAAATTCAATTATCTTTACTAACAACTGAGATCAACCTACTTGTCTCTGGAGCTGATTCACTTTCTCAGTAGATATTTGAGAGTTCTGATTTCTTTTTTTCAAATCTTCAAGTTGATCCTTTAAACTGTTCACTATGATAAAAAGAATTTCAGTGGCAAGCTTCAATACAACATACACATACACACACAATTTCTTTCTTGGTAAGTATTTAATATTCTACACTACAAACCATCATTTTCCAAATTTCGTTTCTTGTCTGCTTCGTGATCAGCTTTCCGCTGATATTCTGCATTTTTGTGCTGAAGAAGTGCCTTTTCTCTTTCTAATTGTCTTAACGCTGATTCCACACTTTTCCTTAAAGTAATCTGAAATAATGCTTAAAGTTATTACCAAAGGAAAGTATGCATAAAAATAAAAGAAAACAGTATGTCAAGCAGATAAAAGACACCTTTAAAAATAAGCTGCAACTGCTGTTTTGTTAAAATTCACAATGTTTTCCATTATTTTCAAAATAGCACACCTCTCTTATCAAGACCAGTGCTCATTGTTCACTACTGAAAGTCAAACTTTCTGAAACATTCCATTACCACTGAATCATCTTCACTTGATATAAACGTTATGAATAGAAATTTAAAAGAAGAAACAACAGCTACTTTCTGTTGTTAAGCCAAGTAATTAATATAAATGCAAATTTTTTCTTGCATTACCTACACATGCTAAAATTAACTCAAGTTTGCAAAAACATAACAAAATGAAGTCTATCATCATGCTTATCCTGTAATTTTAGTCCTATTCACCAATGCTAGAGGTAGGTCTTACTATATACCAAGATATGTATTAATACGGTTCTAAGAGAACTCTGCAGCTAAGCCAGGCATCAAAACTCTTAGTGAACAAAAGTGTTAATAAAAGCATAGAGGAACTTTACCTCTTCCTCTAGTTCCTTTGCTACTTTCTCAAGGCGAGTATTAACAGATCTGAAGAATTTCAAAAGAAATAGTAAGTAAACCTCTAATTCATAATAAAAACATCTTACTATAAATTTTAAAATAATCAAATAATTACTTTGTAGCTCTTCCTTTTAGGTAACATGTTTAAACTTCAATCTTAACATACCACACTGAACTAGCCACAAAACATACTTGCACTTTTGCTCTAGCTCCTCTTTGGCTTGCATCTCAGTGCTAAGGTGTTCTTCTAACGTGTATAATTTTTTCTGAATCTGTCAGAAAATAAGATACTATAATTAGAAAGTTTGGTTACACTTAAAATATAAAAGCCTCAAGAAAACAATGACAAGCTGTTTTGTGAGCTGAATATAACCTCATCTATAATGGTACATAAAGTTTCTGTACCTTCTTAAAGATGTGATTTTTACTGACAGAGGAAAAAATCCTCCAACTCCTGCTCTCTATCACACTACACACGTATGGAAACATGTACATGTCCACACCACATAAACATATGAGTGAGAAGCTCTAAACTTGGCAGAATTCTTCTATGACACCAAGTCTCTCGTTCATTATGAATAAAGGATATCCTCCACTGTTCTTCTGCAGATTACTTATATAAAATACTGTCACAATGTGTACTTATAAGATGAAAAGGTCTAAATCTGAAACAAATACTTAGAATATTTGAACTTGCTCAAAAATATATTATTGCTCTTAAAAAGAAGAATTTAAGCTCTTCTTTATATCTTTCTACACCATGCCAGGAACAGTACTATCAAGAGTTATAATCAATAACTCTTGATGAATAATATCTAATTGATTATAACATTTCCTTGCCGTTCTTTGTGTCTTCTTCTAGGCCAGATATGTTGGTCTTTAAATAAACTAAAATCACAGAAAGTATTAAACAGCCCATTTTTGGAGATTATCTTCTTCATAAAGGATTTAAGTTTTTTAGTTCCTTTGTGCCTTAGGTATAGCGGCAGACACTTTACAAATGTTGTCTTTTTAATCCTAACAACAACCTTAAGAATACAGTAGTGTTGTATCTACTCAATAAAGAAACTGAAATTTTAAAAAGGTGAATAACCGGGCCAAAATAGCTTAGCTAATAAGTGGCTGTGCCAAAAATCAATCCAAGTCTGTTAGACCCCCAAGGCTAATGTTCTTTCCGTTATTCTTTCTATAGTGATTGGGTTCCCCATGTTTCTTAAATATTTTATAAATCTTATACAAAACTATTATTTTTCCTAGTAAGAATATATAGGCCAATGAACAAGTCAAGTTAACTGCTTTTGGCTGCTATTGTATTAGTATAATTTGATCACACTAGTTTTCACATGTTAATCAGTTATATATCCTTGATTAAGAAAATAACATAATACATATTTAAACAATAGATCCATAACGGCAATAAGGAAAGGAATACTTGGTAGAAAAAAGTTGGGAACTTCTCTCTCAGGCAGATGTAGTACTCCAAATGCTAGGTGGAAAATGGCTACATCAAAACACTGCTAGAATGAAGCACTTTTTCAGTTTTTCAACATATGTGACATCAACATACCTCTTGGCTTTCCTATTTAAAACAAAACAGAAAACACAAAAATTTACAATACTTGTATGCTTTATAAAATTCCCAAGAGAAATCATACCAGAATTATCTAACCAACTTTCTAATTTTCTATAAATTTTAAGGAGAAAAATGTTTAGCATACTCATAAATGTGTATGTGTGGATATGATTTACTTTTGTTGTTAGAAATTAGAAGCCACAAAATATGTAATAGTTTGATAAAATCACCCTTTATCTGAATTCATTCTTAAACACTCAAAATATTACTTCCGTCACTATTTTTGTACCATTATACCTTCTTATCTATATATACTCTTTTATAGTACTAAGATTATAAAATTTTCTGATATTATATTTGCTTATAAACCTATTCTACCACTTTTGCTACTAAAACTAAGCCTAAAGCCATATATAATTCATCTTTTTACTAGCCACTGTATCTTATACAATAATACCTGCCAAATAAATTAATCATTTCAATGTTCTTTGAACTATATTACAACAGAGAATGCCATCTACTCATTCAAAAAGTAGCATCAAATGAACTTTTTAAACATATGGATATCACTAAATTAACTGAACATATGATTAAAATAAAGTAGTAAAAACCTATACATACTTCATTTTTCCTTGATTGTACTGAATCATTTTCTCTACAAGGTGAAGAGTCACTTAATAACCTAGAAGGAAAGGCAGGAAATAAATCTTTTGCATGTCATTTTAATCCATTTCCTAATACTGCCAAATTATTATCAGAATTAAATTCCAGCCACAAAGATTTTCTTTCTGACCACTTCAACATAATTTAAATGAAGCAATGTTTTCCCCTCTAGATATTTATCATTCTCAGTAATTTAAAATGTTGCACATTTTTTTTGCCCCCCACTGGATGTTCTAGTCTTTAATACTATTAAGACTGCAGTCACTAGATGGGCTATGCATTGCCCCTCTTCATCTCATTTTGAGTTCCTGTAACTATTTTATCAAGAAATCTAGAAAGACATCTCTCCTCCTTCTCAAAGATAACATCTCTTGATTCCCAGGTCTTAATACATAAATCATCACTTCTATTTAATTGTCAATCTCTCTAACTGGGTCCTCCCTCATTGCCTATAAATATGCTTGGGTTTATCAAGGCACTCATATCCTCATTTTAGTGAGCATTACCATAGTTTTTAGAATACTATCGTTAGCAGGGTGGCCAACTCATCCTGGTTTGCTGGGGATTTTCTGAGTTTCAGCATCAAAGTCCCTTGCCATATCCTAGGAAGCCCCTCAGTTCTGGGCAAACCAAAATGGTTGGTCGCCCCTACCATTACATACATGAAAGTACCAAAAGTTTCTCAAATATGTTTCTCAAATGTCTCTAATGCCTCACTCCTCACTGCCTGTCAAAGTTGAAAGTCCCTCAGTATAGCACACAACAATCATCTGCTGCTTTATTCTTCCTCTGAACTTCAACTCCAATATAGTTTTTAATCTTTATACCCAATACTCACCACAGCCAACCAGTATTTATTGGCCTTGTGCCAGACTCTGTGTTACATGGAGGGATTACAGCCAAGAAACCTGAAGTCTCATTAGGTCCTCCAAATGATCGTAATACAGTAATATGCACCTTGTGTTTGGGCCCTACTAGACCACGCTACTCTGCTCCCAATGTGTGCCAACATGCCACACTTTTGCTTCCATTGTTCATCTCCCCATGACTCTCACCTAACCTCCCCACATCTTGGCCACTCAAAACTTTTTCTTAGCTTTACAAACACACCCCTCCTTCCCTGAGGTCTTCCCTGACTCCATACCCCACCCCCAGAGATGTGACTTTTATTTTTCTCCTGAATCATCTTAGATATTTTGGTACCTTTCTTAAGGCAAATATCATATTTCTAACCTTTATTATGACTCTATTATTCTCTTATATCCCTTATTACCAACCTTATTAGATGGTAAGCTCCTTCAAACATATTTAGTCTTACTCTCTATTACCCCAAAGAATATAGAAGAGTGCTTTGCATACATTTGTAAATGAATAACATTCAGGAATAATGGAACTAAATGAAAAATAACTTTCAATAGTCCTTTTTTAAAACACTCAAAAGTTTAAAACAAATGAACACTTTATCTTCTGTAATCCAAAGTCTTATAGTAAGGTAACTCTTTACAGCTAAATCCTGAAAGCAATAAAAATCTAACAAATCACATACAAATTTTCTCTATAGTAGGTAAATCCTATAAAAGGCAGCTGGTTTCCCACAAAAGCTTTAGGAATTGGGAAGGTTTCTACATCTCCTTTATCATCTTCAATGTCATCAAAATTGCTGCTGTCTATGTCACTGCTGAGTTCAGGTACTACAGGAGCCGCCGCTGTTAAAAGAAAAGAAATGGATTATTTTCTTCATAATCAAAATATATATTAACCACCCAGATTTAATATATATTAATACCAACACATTATACATCAATAATATATAATTAATCAGTAACATCATGATTTACTATAGAAAATTTGGTGACATGTTTTACATTCTATCATTTCAAAAATAAAATTTTATTAAGTATTTTATTACTACATTGGAGCAGGTTTGAGTATAGATAAATCAAACAAGGAGAGGAATATGATATTATTCTAGGTATTAAAATTGTAAGCAGCAATAATTTGCACAACATTCTTTAGCCTTTGGCCTTTCACATTCTTTAAGTAAAATATTTTCACTCTTAAAATGAATTAATGTCAAATATACATAAAGTTAAAATGAATTACTATGCTTATTCTAGTATTCATCAAAGTATGGTCTACATAATTACTGATTAATTCAAAGAAGTTAAATTCAAATTAAGGGATATTCCCCCATTCTGAAAATTATTGAGATCCATAAAAAACTTATAAATTAAGATATCTGTTTATTATAAAAGTATTAAGAAATATTGCTAATGAATACATATTAGTTTAAGATACTGAGGAACATTTAGTTATAAATACTGCAAGAGAACAAGTTTGAAATAAAACCTCTGAATTAAAAATTAGTTAGCATTAAGTGTATCAAACATGATTACTAATTCAAAAGAGGGATCAACTACTGAGATTTAAAATGTGATGGAATGGAAATATTTAAATTTATTGACTTACTCTCTCTTATGTTATCCCAATTCCATTGGTCATTCTTAAAGAAAGGATGCTGTTTGATTTCTTCTACCCCATTTCTCCCAAGTCGTACTTCCCTAAACAATGCAGTTAAAGATTAATTACAAAAAGATTACAAAAAAAAAAAATTAATTCTTATCCTGCCTAGGACCACAATAAGGATCACAAATGACTTTGAGATATCTTTATCAAAAGTTTCAGCTTAAATGTTTTTCCAAAACAAGTATTGCCCATTTTACAATATATGATCTCTCTAGATTAAAAGGACAATATAGTAAATGCCATGGAAAGGGAAATGTATTTCCATCTGTAGTTTGTATCAAAGAAAAGTACACATGAGACTTTCAAATAAAAATATTCATCTATGTATGCCAAAACTGCATGATACAACTCCAGGATGTAAAATGGACAGAAGTTTAACTTCAAACAAAGAAAAGTTATTCAAAGCCTCTCCAATAAAAATGTAGCACAGGGGAGCCTGGGTGGCTCAGTGGGCTAAGCCTCTGTCTTCGGCTCAGGTCATGATCCCAAGGTCCTGGGATGGAGCCCCACATCAGGCTCTCTGCTCAGCAGGGAGCCTGCTTCCCCCTCTCTCTCTGCCTGCCCCTCTGCCTACTTGTGATCTCCATTTGTCAAATAAATAAAATCTTTAAAAAAAAAAATGTAGCACAGAGTCTGCTCCAGATTCTCTCCCTCTGCCTCTGCCCTTCCTCATGTCCACTCATGTGTTCTAATAAATAAATTTTTAAAAATCTTTAAAAAAGTAAAAATTAAATCAAAATTTTAAAAAATGAAAATCTCTTCTTATAAAGAACTCACATATTAGAAATTATCAATCTTCAGTCTGATAAATTGTATATTAAAATAATCATTCTGAATACAAGAATAATATTAACAATTTAATTCTTTGAACCTCTGAGTTTTCAATGCAGATTTTATGGACATAAAAAACATCAGTTTTTTTATATGCCCCTGGAGTCATGTTTAATATAAACAGAAAAACGTGTAAACTCTAGAGGGAAGTACTGGTAGCCACAATGATGGCATTAAATTCTTTTCCAAATATCTTTTCTCTACCTAAAATCATTCCTTGGACTGCACCACCACCCCCCAATAAACTGTGAAGGCAAATCTTTCATTAACATGTGCTACGTCCTGTTTCATATTCTACCTTTCAGCACAAATTATGGTCATCCTCAACAACCCATCTAGTCCCAAATCAAACATACAGGATTTGTTCTAAGTTTATCAGCATGGATTGTCTGTTAACCAGATAATTAACAAATCTTATAAATGATAAACATATTAGAATGATTAACCTCTCTAATAAGAAAAAATAGCAATAATTTTTCTTGCTTCAGATGAAAAAAAAATTCATGATATACAGTTTGATGAGAATGAGCAAAGTAACTATCATCAACGGAAATATACCCTGCTGTGACTACTCCGGGGGTCAAATTTTGTAAAACCTACTCAATTTTAAAGTGTGTATCCAAGAATTCTACCTTTAAAACTTTATCCTACAGAATGTACGCAAAATATAAATGCTTGAGGATAGTCACTGTGGTACTGCTTGTAACAGCTACTGGCTAACAAACAATATGGTTTTTGCTGAGAAATCAGAACACTTTAGAGCTAGAAATGCCCTGGGTTATCAATCTGATCTGATCCCACTATTCATGGAGAAGTAAAAATTTCCCCCCCAAGTAAAATTATTTCCCTCAGATCATAATGCTGGTGAATAAAGTTTGGACTGTGGGGCATACACACCCAATATAAGCTGGTCCTTGGACAGGCTCTCATCACAAATCTAAAAGAACTGAATAGAAAGGCCAAGGAAGAAACTCCGAAGAGTTTTCTATCTTCCCTTCTTGAAGCAGGTTTCATAGCATTGTTCACCTATTTTGTTTTAAGAAATACAGAATTTCCAGAGTATATTCAAATGCAAATAAAAAGGCTGGGAAGGAGGCACTCCCAAGTCGAATACAAATAGTTTTTGAGATTATAACCTGTCAAGTACACATCTGCACAAAACACTCTTCTCTCAAGAGTCATACAGTAAGAGTCAGATGGGCTTATCACTTCAAAGGATAAAATGTGAATAATACAAGCTTTACTCCTCTCAAATGCATTGCCTTACTAAGTTCTGTTTTTTTCTTTTTAGACATGAAGGTAAGGTTAGAGTTTGATTACAGTGGGGTTGCACACACATAATGACAAGAGCAACTCAACACCAGGCCTAGCAGTAGGAAAAGGCTAACCCAAGCAATTTGGATAAAGAGAACAAAAGACTTCATATGTAAATAAATGTTATGCTTTCATTTTTACAAATTTGAAAGTTAAGGGCTCTCAGGGTGCCTTGGTAGCTCAGTTAAGCATCTGCCTTCTGCTCAGGTCATGATCCCAAGGTCCTGGGATCAAGCCCCATGTCACTGTTTCTCCTTCTCCCTTTGTTCCCCGCCCCCTGCCCCCAACTTATGTTCTCTCTCTTGCACACTGTGCTCTCTCATATAAATAAAAAATCTTTAAAAAGGGGGGGAAAAAAAGCTAAGGGCTCTCTACAAAGAAATTCAATGTACATTACCTATCTGTTAAGAAGGCACAAATGAGATTCTTCGCATGTTTAGAAATTTCTGCATCTTCAGGGAAACATAGTGAGTTTTTATGATCCATAATTTTGCTGTATGTTCCTACAAGTGAATCTGCATAAAACGGAGTATCCCCTAAAATCCCAAGAAAGAAGACACTGAGTGTAACTAACAGAGAATGAAAATTAAACACTTTCCATCTATTATTTAAACACATTAAGTTTAAATTTGTCACATGCGTGACAGAACAAGTGACCTATGGGTGAGGAGACTCAGTCGAAACACCCTAGCACACACCAAGGATGTATTTAAATTTTAACCACACCAATGTACCATCAACTCTTAAAAGCAAAATAAAATCAATGCTAACTATAGAATTTTTTACTGTTTTTACAATGGAGAAGATTACTTAGTAGGGCCAGATAGATGAGAATCTTCTAATGCTTGAGCTGGATCAGTCCTTCTTGAGATTACTCTCTAGAGCTATGCTGTACAATAGAGTAGCCACTGCCAACATTTAAGTTAAATTTAAAGTTGAATTAAAATTTAAAGTTTAATTAGTTAAAATGAAATAAGATAAAAATTTCAGTTCCCTAGTCACACTAACCACATTTTAAGAGCTCAGTGTGGCCCGGGCTTACCACACTGGAATGTGCAAACACAAACCATTTTCAACATGATAAACTGGACAGAGTCAGACCAACCCTATTATTTCATATGAGATTTGCCTAAGATGACACATAGCTAGAATTCATAATGGCAGAAATGGTCTCCCAATGCAGTGCTCCTCCAGACTACTGGCTACGCTAAAGAGGCACTGGAGTGTAAAGACAGAAAAGCTGAAGGCACCATTTTGGCCAGTACTCATCTAAAGCCACAAGAATTAAGGGCCCTGCCAGTATGACTCAACTGTAAGTCACCTTAGCAGAAACCAGACTTCCCCAAATCAGACAATCCAAAATTTCAAAAGGGGTATTCAGGTAATTTTTGTTTGTTTTCAAAGAGGGCAAAAGGGTGCTTTGAATTCAAGATTTTTCTAGCGCCATTTTTAATTACAGTAGAGCTCCTTGAATGAAGTCCCGTGCTAACCAACCTAGGCAAGCACCAGAGTAAGCTCAGAATATTGTAAATCAGTGTCATTCAAAGTCATTAAATTCAACTCAAGAGTTGGAAACAGTAGCAGGTATTTAAATGGTCCCTTCAAAGGAGCTATGTGACTTTCTCCAAATTATTTTCTAAATCCCTAGGAGAGTCTAGGCAAATGATAGAATAATTCTACTTTAAAAAGATTACAAGAACACCTAATGCATCATCAGATTGGGCCAGAGGTGGGGAGAATGAACAGCTACCTGGGAACATATCCTGCATGTAAAGAGATGCACTACAAAAAAAAAAAAAAAAAAAAAAAACAAAAGAACGGGCCCAAAAAAAATAGGTCATATTATGACATGAGTTTAAAGCACAGCAAGATCAATACTATATACACAAAATAGTCATCAAGAGAAGGCAATTTACGCCACAAAAACATTCCATGACTAAATATTAAATTTGAGATTTGCCAAAATGTTCTGATTTTTTAAGCAATAATCAAAATAATCATACAAATTTTCCACTACCACTTTTTTTTAGGGTTATCCTCTAGAAAATAAATTCTCCAATTTCTAAAGATATACTTTCAACTTTAAAGTTGTTTCATATAATGTTATTAGCTTTAAAATAGATTAGCCCCAGAAAATAGATTCAGCTGTATCCTCAAGCCAGATGATTCAGTTATTGGCTTCCTTAGCTGGAAGATATTTTTGTGACCCCAGTACTTAGGAATATGGAATCTTAAGAATGAAATCTATGATATAAAGAAAAGTTTTGAAATACCTGAGACTTCCAAATTTTGATTTGGTCAAAGTGAAAGAAATTATTAAATTTGCCTGAGATTTCTGAGAATGAAATATTATTATAAAATATTTTTATCGATAATCAGTCAATAACTATAATTTATTTTACTAGAATTAAAACCATATGTAAATACAAGTAACAAACACAGTTGACAAAAATCAATTACATAACTATATAAACAAAATTGGAACAAATATTAACAGCCTTATACTTAAAATATTTACAACAAATACTTTAATCAAGAAAATCTTAGACTAGAAGCCCACTAGAGCTGTAAACTTGCTTCTTGTTCTAACATTTTCTTCATACAAAAAGGCCACTGAAGAATTATTTCCTAGCAATTTACTTTTGAATCCTTTTACATTTCACTAAATCATTGTGCCCGTACAATTTGGTTTTAATTTTCCAATTAATAATCTGTCATATCTGATACAACTAATTCAAAGTTTTTAAAAATCCTACTTCTTCCACAGGACACAATTTCCTTATATTCCCAAATTCTTGACTTAAAACTAGTGTTTTGAGATGGGTTTTGAAAAAAAGACAAAATATCTACTCACCCACCAGCATCTCAAAAAGGAAAACACCCACAGACCACCAATCACATTCTCGCCCATAGTAACCATCACCCCCTTGTGATTTGAGAACCTCAGGTGAAATATAATCAGGTGTTCCAACTGCTGTATCACAATGCACCATGCCTGTCTGGTAAAGAGAGAGAAAAACAGCTGCATGTAAAAACATACACACATAAATACAATATTCCATTTATTACTATATATATGTAGTGACTACAAATTGCTACCAACAGAACTTCATTGCTGATACAGCTTTGGGAGGACAGAAGATAAATGTATTATGAAATGCCTAAAAGCGTCCAGATTACAGGAAATCAAGAATGACTTTTCCACTCTAAAATACAGGAGGCTTCATCAATGGAAGAAGGAAAAAGTGGTAAACTCTAAGGGAATCCCAAGCAAATCAACATCTTTTGTTTCTCTTTCTTACTCTACTAAGTAGTCACAAGGGAAGTACAAAACGTGATCTTAAGGCAGTGACCTGGGGAAAAGAATTAGAGAGAAAGGAAACTTTGGTGTTTTCAAAAGAAACTGCAGTAATTAAGATTACAAAGAGCCTAGTTTGGAGCTGGATAAAGAAACAGTTCTTATCATATTAAGAAAAAATGGTGGAAATAGATAAAATGTTTAAGTTAAAAGATCTTAACAGCTTGAAAGCTATATACCACCAAACTGTGTATTTAGAAATATGGAATTGTGGCATCAAGATATTTGGCAAAATGATAAAGAACACTTTTATCTGTATTTAGTTTTAATGGGTAATACGACAATCCCTGATGTCTTTTTGACAAGAACCATTGTAAATATATGCATCCATGTGCATCTTATAGCGTGTGTGTGTTTGTGTGTGTGTGTGTGTGTGCTGTAAAATGAAATCACTCTAATACTATAATGCTAAATACTATTTGTTCACCTCCAGCTCTGTGCAAACTTGCTAAGTTTATAGACTAATTTAAATGCCCTCCATTTCCCTTACCTCCCCAGTAAAGAGTATGTCATTCACATTCCTCATAAGGAAGCTAATATAAATTCCCAAAATACAAGTGTTATGAACACCTTGGGAAAAGGAAGTTCCATGTATTTTGTAAATATGACTTATGTAAATGTATTTAAGTGCAATAAAAATATATGTTCATCATGGGAAATTAATTTTGAAAACAATCTTTTCATTCTTCAAATTAGCAACAATAACGCAATGATTTTACTTTCCTATGTATATAGCAAATAGAGAATAGAAGTCATTTTAGTTTGAATATAAATTAATAAAAGTCCTGAAAATAATTGAGCAAATTAGGAGGGCAATAATTTGTATGGATTGTACTCAGAATAAAAGATGAAAAACAACAGTGCCTAACTTTAAGACGCAGGGTTGGACTGTCCTATACTTCTGTTAGAGGAAACATTAAGATACTTGTTTGGGTAAATAAAACTCCTTTCAAATATATCTACCGAAACTAGACTTTAAAAAATGAATCCTGTGAGACTCAAGAACTAAAACCTAACTGGACACACACACCAAAAAATGCCATTGGAGGAAAAATTATTTAGCATTCAAAGGTTTAGAGGAAGGAGAGGAAAGGGTAAGATAAAAAAATAACTGGCATAAAGTTAGGCGGTAAAGGATGGGACATGTTAGGCTTTACCAGAGAGAGAGGTATGACAGCTTAGAAAGAAACAAGAGAAAAATAAAGAACTAGGATGACTTTTTATAAAGCATATTCAGGAAATGCAGTGAAGAGGTGCCTGGGTGGCTCAGCTGGTTAAGCCACTTACTCTTGATTTTGGCTCAGGTCATGGTCTCCGGTTCATGAGATCAAGCCCTGTGTGGGTTCCACACTCAGTACGGAGTCTGCTTGGGATTCTCTCTCTCTGCCCCTCCCCCTGCTCATGTTGTTTCCCTCCAAATAAATAAATAAAATCTTAAAGAAAAGAAAAGAAGTAAAGTCCAAATCAGCTAAAAGTGAAGTTTCACAATGAAGAAGGTGGGAAAGGTAAGATGGAGATCAGTTTGAATAACCACTTGCAAAATAAATACTTTGGCAGGACTAAAGAATTTTTAGTAGGGAAACTACGTAAACAGCACTCTGCTTTTGGGAAAATAAATATTCCAACCACAATTTTTGACTAGTGTACTGGAGGATAAGTTTTTTTAAATAAGTATTTGTAAAAGACATTTTAAAACTGTCTCATGGAGGGGCACCTAGGTGGCTCAGTGGGTGAGGCCTCCACCTTCAGCTCGGGTCAAGATCCCAGGATGTGGGATCGAGCCCCGCATCAGGCTCTCTGCTCAGCAGGGAGCCTGTTTCCTCCTCTCTCTGCCTTCCTCTCTGTCTACTTGTGATCTCTGTGATCTCTATCGCTATCTCTATCTATCAAATAAATAAATAGTCTTTTTTTAAAAAAACTGTCTCATGGAGAGGTTCTCAAATTATATGAAACAGAATCCACATTTATGACAAGTCTCTTCTACTATCCTAAAGAAATACAGTTGGGTGATGGACAATGGGGAGGGCAGGTGATATGGTGAGTGCTGTGAAATGTGTAAGCCTGACGATTCACACACCTGTACCCCTGGGGCAAATAATATATTATATGTTAATAAAAATAATTAATTAAAAAAAAAGAAATACAGAAAGGATAAACCAGAAAATAAAACCTGGTTTACCAATGGTGGGTGTGGGTGGGAAAAGGGTGGAGAGAAGTGGGAGTATGGGAATGGGGCAGTAGGAGTAAGGAGGATAAGATCCTTCTCTAAGCATACAATTTGTACAGTTTTAACTCATAAAGCCAGAGGAATGTTTCATACATCATAAAGACTATGAATAAGCAATTAAAATCAACTAGGATGTGTGTGTGTGGGGGGGATACTCCAAATGGAATACAAACAGTAAAAACTGAAGCTGTTTTATAAATTATTAACATAACCACACCAAATGGGGTAGGGATGAAAAAAACTAACCTAAGTAACTTTGTATATGTGCTGCCAAAGCGAGCACAAACCTAAGTAACTTCGGAAAACAGTATCTGTAACAGATACTATAAGGCTCAACACAAAAGGAACTGCACAAAAATAACATATTCTAGGGACACCTGGGTGGCTCAGTGGGTTGGACGACTGCTTTCGGCTCAGGTCATGATCCTGGAGTCCTGGGATCGAGTCCCGCATCGGGCTCCCAGCTCCGCGGGGAGTCTGCTTCTCTCTCTGACCTTCTCCTCGCTCATGCTCTCTCTCACTGTCTCTCTCAAATAAATAAATAAAATCTTTAAAAAAAAACAATATTCTAATTAGTAAATCTGTCATAGGGTAGGAATTAGTAATTAATTCTGAAATAATTTTATGCGTCTTCTAGAGTTGAACAAGTACATGAACTGTAGACAATGAGAGCCAGGTTTTTTTTTAAGATTTTATTTATTTACCTGACAGAGAGAGAGAGCGCACAAGCAGGGTCAGGGGCAAGGGGAAAGGGAGAGGGAGAAGCAGACTCCCTGCTGAGCAGGGACCCCCCCCGATACAGACCTCCATCCCAGGACCCTGGGATCAAGACCTGAGCCGAACGCAGACCCTTAACCAACTGAGCCACCCAGGTGCCCCAAAAGAGCCAGGTTTCTCAGTGACTAAAATAGAAATTACCAAAAAAAAGGTGGAAGATTATAATAAGCCCTGTGGTGTAGGACAAGAATCAGTATCAGTATGAACTCATGATTTTAGTAGCCTAGATATACAGAGAGATAAATACAGAATTAAATATGAACATGTGTGCGCATATAGATGAGCACATACAGTATATTCAGCATACGTGTGTCTGGTGACAAGGCCTAGAAATAACGGCACTCGAGGAGCAATAAGCATATCTAGTCCCCAAATACTGATTTCTAAATACCATTCTTGAATAAAAGAAATCTGAGCTTCCTGGAAAAGTGGCTCATTCCATAGCTACGACAGAGAATATACAAGTCTTCAACGATTTACGGTGCCAAAAAATAAGAGAAATGCTCCATAAGGGGGGCATGGCCAAGGACATAGGAGCCAACCCAAGGAGCCAAGATAAGCAAATGTGGACTGAGTTTGAAGGTATGAGTAGGAATCTGCCAAGTAAACTGTATCCAACATCGTATTTGAAGGCCAGGAATCATGAAATCACTGATTTTATGGCACTGAAACAACTACATGTAATTTAAGACCAGTGAACTAAAAGGCACAAAAGGTCAAATGATAGAGAATGAGGGTGAAACGTGGAAGGGATCACACCATCAAGAAGCTTCATACAGACAAGCTAAGGAGTTTGAACTTGACTCGGTAGATGACAGGAATCTACAGAAGAGTTTTAAGCAGGACAGCAACATAAACAGGTATGCATTTTCAAAAGCTTCCTCATGAGTAATTTAAATGGGTAAGATTAAATGCTTATTTGCTAAAATATATCTGGTATTTATATTAGACATTATAATATCATAAGTGGAAAAGTTTACGGAAAACACAAAACTGGTCAGTCATAAATCCTGAGGTTGGCCAAGGAAACTATTCTAAGTGGTTCCTGTGAAAGTGGAAAAAATTGTAAATGGAATTCTTAATTATCAGAAAAGCATTAAGAGCCTCGGCTTGACTACTACACAGGCAGGAGCCAACTCAGTCCACTTTAATGATTAAAAATGGTGCATAAACAATGAATTTTTGGAACACTGAAAAGAAATAAAATAAAACGAAAAAAAAAATACTGGCTGGCATATAGTAGGTGCTCAATAAATACTTGTTAAATAAATGAACTGTTAAATAACTTAAAAAAAATGAGTAGTTGCAACAGGGACTCCTTTTTCAAACAGGCATATCCCTCACCTTATAAAATTCTCGGCTAGTGCAAAGTCCTGCTTCCTCTTTGTTCTATTTAAAAAACAGCCCAACTGGTTTAGAAGCCCATGTCCATTTGCATTATACAGTGCCCAACGCACAAAAGGCTGCCTGTTATTCTAGTTATCTCCTAGGGATACCAATTATTACTTTTATTAGGGCTCTGGTTACAAAGCTGCATAGCTTTTGAACAGTTTGTCCCTACTGTCCCCATAAACCTATTCTTTTCTATATATAATTTTGCAGAAAATAGGGTTTTTTCAGAAATACGAGTAGAAACACCTTCATTTTAAAAACTGATGGCACTTGTAGAAGGGTTAATAACATTAACAATTTACCAATTAGCTTTTAAAGAAGTACAGCCTCCGGGGCACTGGGTCACTCAGTGGGTTAAGCCTCTGCCTTCAGCTCAGGTCATGATCTCAGGGTCATGGGATCGAGCCCCACATCGGGCTCTCTGCTCAGCAGGGAGGCCTGCCTTCCCCTCTCTCTCTGCTTCCCTCTCTGCCTACTTGTGATCTCTCTGTCAAATAAATTTTTAAAAAAATCTTTAAAGAAGTACAGCCTCAATATAATCAAATAGTACACACTAGAATATTAAGGGATATAATTTTATATTATTTTCAGGTAACCTAAAACACTGACATAAAATGTGCCTTAAAAGGTGGTAAAGGTAGCTATAAAATGCCCAATGACAAGCCAAGAGGGAACTCCATTTACCTAACTAAGCAAGCAATTTTAAATAGCAGAACTACAGGGCACCTGGGTGGCTCAGCCCATTAAGCATCTGCCTTCAGCTCAGGTCATGATCCCCGGGTCCTGAAATCGAGCCCCGCATGGGGCTCCCTGCTCAGAGAGAAGCCCTCTTCGCCCTCTCCCACTCCCCCTGCTTGTGTTCCCTCTCTCGCTGTGTGTCTCTCTGTCAAATAAATAAAATAAAATCTTTTAAAAATAAATAAATAGCAGTACTTCTTGGCTATCAACTGAGACACATCTAGATGTAAATATACTACACTGTGACATTCACTCACATCTATATGTTTGTGGTTTTTTGTTTGTTTTTTTCAGAGAGATAAAGAGTCATAGTATCCAGGAAACTGTGTAAGCCCACAATTTATTGACAGAACTTTCTGATATATGCCAGTACTCTTAATTGCAATAGTAACCAATTATTTTAGTCTTTCTGGTTATAATATTTAGTCGTGTTTTATTTTTGCATTTATCCTTAGCCAGGAGAGCTAAAAAATAATTTGAGGATCTCTGTCTATATTGTAGATAAAGGGTTGACAAAGTTTTCTATAAAAGGCCAGTAAAAGGCCAATAAATATTTTAGTAATACTTAGTAAATATTTTAGGATTCGTGGGCACATAGGATCTCTACCTCACATCTTTTTTTTTTTTTTTAACATCTTTTAAAAATGTACAAACCATTTTTAGTCAGGAGCTGTACAAAACCAAGCCACAGGTCAAATCTGGCCTTGAACTCCAGTTTGCCAATCCCTTCCACAGACGTGCAGATGAATGAGAACAAAACTAGGAATATTTCTAATAGCTTTGAGACTATAATGATAATCAAACAGAGGCCAATAAAGTGATGAACCTAAAACTTGCAGCAGCACCATTTATATTAACAGCTAATATAACAAAATTATAAATTCTATGTACTATAGATTTTCATAAAAAACTCCTTTGTTCTTCAACCTATATGGCTGTTCTCGTCATTAGTATTAGTTGAGGAATGGAGTTCTGGGGTAAAACAAACAACATTTTTAAACTTCAGTATTTAAAGAATATATATTTCACTACATCAAAATTAAGAACTCCTATTCAAACAGAAACAAATGCATAGCTGGCTGGAAGATGATATGAGCAATACCTGTGGAATCACTATTGAGATTATATAAGGAAATCCGGAACATCAACAAGAAGTTGATTTTAAAAAGGTTAAAAGATACACAAGTAATTTATGAGATAAATGACTCACAATTACATGAAGAAAAGTTTGACATCATTAATTATAAAATAAATGCCATTTTTAAAAACTACCACCTTACACCAACAGAACTGATAAGATTTAGACGAGTAATAGGAAGGCGGAGTAATAACACAGAGAGACACGAACTCAAATGCACTACTAGCAAGAGGTTATAACATTTACAGCCATTCTGGCGGTCAGGTAATACTTTATTTATGTATCCTCTGAGTCAGCAGCCCCACTTCTTCTAAGTGTATATTTAGAGGAAACCCTTGTCAGAATACACATGGGACATGTCTGAAGATGTTCAACATGAATGTTTAGGTTCAACATAGTACTGCTGGTAGCAGGGAGCTGATGTGGCCTAGGAATCCAACACAAGGGGGAATAAGTACAATCAAATAGATAGATAACATAGAAAATTAAGAAGGACTGAGCTAATTTACATATATCAGAATAGATATAAAACAAGATTGAGTGAAAAAGTAAAAAAAAAAAAGACATTCATATCATATTATTTATACACATGTACACTATATTAATAGTCTGCAAGAGCTTATAGTAAACACATGACAGTGGCTGTTTATTAGGGACAAAGAGAATAAGACTGAAACGGAAAGGGGGAAGACATCATAAAATAAAAACCAGATGAAGCTTTTCTGTTGACTCCTAATGACAAGTGATGAAGCAAGGAGTATAATTAGCTCAGCTAAATGCACCTGAATTAAGAAATAGTAAATAAAATTACATAAGCCACATTTTATTTTGTCTTATAAAGAGACAATGTAAGATATTTAAGTCACTTAATTTAGTATTTACTTACATGCTTGCAAAATTATTCTATAAAAACCATATTCTGTCCTGTTCCCCACACTCTATACCCTTTCTTCCTTAACCATCATTACCTACCCTAAAAACATATGGTATGACTTATTTCTCTACATCCTCCCAAAAGTTTTTGGTTTAACTAAAATCAGAATACAACCATGGAAGCACAGTACAAAAACATCACTCATTATGTAAAACAGACATACAAAAATTTAGCATTCTATTAGAAAATTATATTATACTTTATTTTCATTAAAGATAATTTTTAATATTAACCATTTTATAGTGTATTATGATAAACACCACAAGAGGGAGCTTTGGGGACAAATGCTCCTTCTACTAAAAATTAATGTATACGAAACACGGACACAGTGACTACATAATCAATGAAGAAGACCAAAGAAGAAAGGAATGTTACGTTTTAGTTGAGTAGACAGGGCATAGAAACCTAGATATATGAAAAGGTCCTACAAAATACAGCACAAATTCTAAATAAGAACATTAGAAAAGTGATCAGTCAGATTAGGATTATCAAGAAGAACTCTGTAAATGAGGTAAAATCTGAGGTGAACTTAGAAGAATACAGAATGCTGATGAAGACATATAAAAAGATGAAGACTAAAAAAGTGAATGTCACATAGATGGCATAAGAGGTTAAGAGAAAAGAAAATCAGCTTAATTAAAAATAAACATCTTGATAAGATATTTTTGTTAAGAAATATGATTAGCTATATAAGCATACTGGAAGGTTATAAAAACCATACAAAAGATAATATCTAGTTTGCTGTCAACATGCACTAACATTTAAGAAGTCTGATATATGTAGGTCACCCCTTAGATCCAACAGAGAAATACAAATACAAAAACAAACAAACAAACAAAAAAACAAACAAACCATGATTCCTCCCCATTAGGAACTATTGCAAGGAATTATATATATAGTATACTTTCAGAGAAAAAGAGAAGAGATATAAATTTTGCAACATAAATAAATAAATCAACATCATAATTAGCTATGAGGTTAAAACTACTGAACCTATTAATTACAATGTGAATTGTTCTACAGGTAAAGTACACAACATATGATGTTCCTAAATGTATTCCATATGGTGGATGCAGACACGGTTGGTAGGAGACAGTAACGTAAACTTCTCAGGTATTTTTTTTTTTTTTAAGGAAAAATACAGAAATAATAATCGTGATGGAAATAATACCCATGTACCTTAATTTATATTTGTGTTCTATTCTTCGCCTGGATCATTCTGCACATGAACTAGTTTTAAATGACAGCAATTGCTTGTCACCATTCTATGGGGTGATACCCAGGTTTTCTGTATTCTTATTTCTCTTGTATTTACCAAATCTTGTACTATATAAATAAATAATAAAGCACTCTGTAGCTAGGTGATCAGTTAAAAAAAAAGTTTTATTTTGTTTAAGTCATTACATAGCAAAACTAAATTTGTATTTGTTTAAAACTACAAAGATCTGAAGCTTCTTTCATTTTTGTTTTTAAAAAACTAGCATTTTTTTTTACTTGCTTATTACTTACTTCATCCATCTTCATACATGTGCCAAAATCCGCCAACTTTAGATGTCCATGTTTATCCAAGAGCATGTTGTCAGGCTTTACATCTCTGTGAATTAAGCCCATGGAGTGTATGGCATCCAGAGCAAGAACAACCTCAGCAGTATAAAATTTGGCCCATTTCTCAGGTACATCATAGTTACTCATAAGGTTTACAAGATCTCCACCAGGCATGTACTCCATTACCATGTACAGATACTTATCATCTTGAAAAGCACAAAAGAGCTGTAAAACAAAATGAGAAAGGAAAAAAAAAATTTTAAGAAAAAACAAAAACAAAAAACAAAAAGCATAAATGGAACAAAACCCCCAAATTTATTACTACTGAAAAAGACAAATTATTTTCCAACCAAAAAAGTTGAATTTTATGAAACCTTTGATTTTTAGATCTGGATATTCCTAATGGAAAAACAGGTATCAGGCAAAACTTTTTATATAGTTAACTTCTTTATGCTGAAAAACATACCTAAATGAATAATTTTCCCTCTCAGAGAATATTTAAATTATTCTCTGAGAATTTATTTAAACAAGATATTTTAAAACAGAAACTGAATGAGGGACATAAAAGATGAAAAGAATGACAAAAGAATTCATAATTTTAAAAAACAGCTTTCTGAAAACAAAACAAGCTACTGTACATAATTCACAAAAAAGAAAGCTGAGGAGGTAGGCGTAGCTCAGAAAAACCTAAAAGATCCCACATTCAATAGATGTAAGAAGAGGGAGTAAGCACCACACCACTGGAAAGGTGGAAAGGAGTGAGCTACGGGTAGCCACACTTAGTATAGGGCCTTCTCTCTCCTATTCCCTATCATCTTGCTCATAAGCAGCAAGTGGCTGCCAGACTAGAACAGTGGCACTGGGACCAGAGAAATCACACCAAGCGAGGGCTGCTACTGACTCCCCAGAGGCATGGGAACCACAAATTCAGAAGAAAAGCTTTTTGTACATTCCACCCAACATGTCCCAACCCACACCCAGAAGCAAGCAATGCAAACAGAAAAGGTTTCCACAAACAGGGAAAACACAGAACAAAACCAAGAACTCATATTCAAAATAAATAAAAAGAATTCCTACAAATCAATTCTTTTAAAAGAAGAGACAACCTAATAGGAAAATGAAAAAGAATTAAGCAGGCATTTCACAAAAGAAGATACTCAAAGATGAAAAGGTATGAAATCTTATTAGAGAAAGATGAATTTAAACCACTGTGAGACACCACCTTGCATGCACAAAAATGACTAAAAATGATCAAAAATTTTAAAACTGATAATACCAAGTGCTAGCAAGGACAAAGGAAACTTATAAACTAGACTTCTGTAACCACACTGATAAACAAGCTGTTACCACCCACTGAGATCGATTATAAGTACTCAAAAATGCTACTCCTAGGAATAAACCCAACAGAACAAAAAACATTTACACTACTTGTAACAAATAAAATTTTGAAATAACACCAACAAATTGTGGTATATACATACAATGGAATAAGACAGCAATAAAACTAATAAACTGTAGCAATGTAGGTAACTCATGTCAACATAACACTGAACAAAAAAGCTAGATACAAAAGAAAAGCTATTCAGTGGTATCACTTTTATAAAGTTCAATAAATAGGGAAACTATAGTTCCTGAGTGCTTGTTTAGGTGGTACACTAGAAAGAAAAGCAAGAAACTGATGACTAATAAAGTCAGAGGAGTGGTTATTTTGGGAGGAACACAGCGAGGTAATGACTGGGAAAGAGCACAAGAGAACTTCTGGAGTCTAGCAATGTTTATTTTTTGAGCTGGGTTGTGAATAGATGGGTGTTTGCTTTGGGATAAATCTTTTTGCTGCTTGTTTTATGTATTTCTTTGTGTATGTCATGAATAAAATCATTTTTTAAAAAAGCATGATAAAATTAATGCAGATAACTTCAAATGCATTTGTAGGTATCCCTCCTTCTTTCACTATCCAATATTCAAGCAGATATGTGCATTGGAAAATAAAGACTGACAATAAAAATTAGGCAGATAAAGAAACTAGAAAAGAACAATATAAACCCAAAGAAAACAGGAGCTAGGGAATTTTTTTAAAAGCAGAAAATAACTAAAAAGAAAAGGGGTGCCTGGGTGGCTCAGTGGGTTGAAGCCTCTGCCTTCAGCTCAGGTCATGATCACAGGGTCCTGGGATCGAGCCCCACATCGGGCTCTCTGCTCAGCAGGGAGCCTGGTTCCCTTCCTCTCTCTGCCTGCCTCTCTGCCTACTCTTGATCTCTGTCAAATAAATAAATATAATCTTAAAAAAAAAAGAAAAGAAAAAAAAGAAGTTATTTTTAAACAAAAAAAAAGTTAACTAAAAAATTTACATATACGCCAGTCAATAGAAAACTAAAAGAAAAGACAGATACAGTCGCAGAAGATATAAACTGACTCAAGAGAGAAATAAAAACCTGAATTAGTAAAAAATCACCTGAGGAAAAAAAAAGGTTGACAGAAGATCTAATTGGGAAGGAGGAATGGAAGGATTGAGTACAGAAAAAAACATATACAAGTTTTAGGACAGCAGATATCTCTCAGAAGGAGAAAAAGGAGAAAAAAGACTGGGTAGGAGAACGAAAAGTATTTCAAGAATTCTTGCAATGTTTTCAAAATTAAAAGCTTAAAATTAACGATGGAAGAATGTTAAAATTTGCTAAATGTATGTAAGACTGAAACCAAAGAGCGTTTCCAGATGGCGTATTTATTAGGCACACAAGAAGAGCCATTCACCAATGGTGAATTAATTAAGTTGTGTTTGATTGCATCAGCCGAAGAAATGCGTCTAGATAAAATCAACGCAAGACTCAGTCTTTCACCGACAGCTGCTCAAAGAGTCGAGGACACTGGTGGCAGTATCAGTAGTCAATTTAAAAACAAGGCAAATGATTTCGGGTGGTTTTCCTCGGCTCTTAATGAGTCCACAGATGCTACTGATATTATGCAGTCATTAGCAGTTATTGGAAGAGTAAGTGCCAAGTTTGAGTGAAAAAACAAGCCTCTATAAACAGTCTGTATAGATGAACTACAGACAAAAATATTTCCAAAGAAGTTGAGAAAACACTAGGTCAGTACAACCCGAAGTAGAATCCGGTAAGGTGTGTTAACAAAAGATAGTGGTAAAAATATATGTGGAGCAGAAAAAGGCTTTATTGGACAAATTTACAAAGCTTGTAAAAATGTGTGATACTGAAAATCTGTAGTTATTCTCTGTAATACTTCTCAGTAAGTACTCTGGAAAACATGTGAATCCTTCGTATAATAAATAAATTAGTATAAACGGATGTTATTTGCTCTTTTGGACTTAACCATCATCATCTGTTCTGTGAATTTTTGTCAGAAAAAAGTGCTGAATATTCTCATGCAACCATACAGCAGTTCAATGGCTTAGCACTGGTAAAATTTTATTGCAATTATCTGAGCTTACAGCCGAGACTAAAATTTGTCTGGTCAAGACCATCCTCAACTACTATCATGGAATACTGACTAGCTTTCTAAATTAGCTCTAGCTACAGACTTTATAATGTTCTTAATTAATACAACCTAAAATGATAAGGTAAAATAGTGCTTATGTGCAAAACTTTAACTTTGCTGAAAGATTTTATTTATTTTAGAGAGAGAGCTCACGCAAGAGAGCATGCACAGGGGAAGGGGCAGAGGGAGAGGGAGAGAGAAGCCCAAGCAGACTCCCTACTAAGCATGGAGCCAGAGGTGGGGCTCGATCTCACCATCCTGAGATCATGACTCCAGCCAAAATCTACAGTCAGATGCTTAACTGATTGAGCCACCGAGGTGCCCTACAAAACTTAAGCTTTTAATGACAACTAACATCAAGCTACTTTTTATGCTTCCCTTGCTATTAAAATCAAAACAAGAAGTGGGATCTCCCTCCTACACAAATTGGCAATGGATGTATTTTCTGAGCTCAAATGATAGTCCCACAGTTCCAACAGCATTTTTTGACCTGAATATAAGTGTAAAGCAAATATCTATATTTCAAAATCCAATTAAACTCTGCAGCTGATGGGGGACCTGGGTGGATCAGTCAGTTAAGTGCCTGCCTTCAGCTCAGGACATGATCCCAGGGTCCTGGGATCGAGTCCCACATCGGGCTCCCTGCTCAGCAGAGAGCCTGCTTCTCTTTCTCCCTCCGCTGCTCCCCCTGCTTTGCTCTCTGGTTCTCAAACAAATAAATAAAATCTTTTAAATAAATAAACAAACTCTGCAATTGAGAAGCTTCTGCCTAACCTTCAGTTGGAAGTGACAAACCTGCAATGTAATGACTTTGCTAAAAGGTAAATATCCAGACAAGAATTTAACATCAGCATTTGTCTTCTAAATGCTAAATAGGCTCAATCAGAATCATATGCTCAAGGTCAACATCAACAGTTATAAATAAAGTATTGGTATACACCCTTGATACATGACGAAAATGGCACCTTCCCTCTATAGTCTTTCTCTAAAAACTCATAACCCTAGTCTAAACAATGAGAAAAACATCAAATTCTAATATAAGACTATACACATCATACAATATAACTTACAAGTAATACTTAAAGCTTTAAAGGTCATCAAAAACAAGGAAAAAAGTCTGAGAAACTGCCACAGCCAAGAAGAGGCTAAGAAGATATAATTAAATATAACATACTATCCTAGATGGAATCCTACAACAGAAAAAAAGCATTAGGTTAAAAACCAAGAAAATCTGAATAAATTATGGACTTTAGTTAATATAATATATCAATACTGGATCATTCATTATAACAAATGTCCCTTACTAAAGTATGATGTTAATAGAGGAAATTGTCCCGGGTTGAGGGGATGATATAGGAGGTCTCTACTATCTGCTCAATTTTTCTATAAATGTAAAACTGTTTAATAATAAAGTCTATTAATAAAAAATAAATCATATGCCAGTGGATAATAGTATTTGGCAGTACCTAACCTATTTGAAAAGATATTTTCTAATAGGATGAATATGTCAGAAAATCTTATTATACATTAATATTAACAGAACATCTATAATTTTGATAGGAAACATTGATTGTGAACCTCAATTAAACAAAACATTATTACCCCAGAAAACAAGTTCATTCTTCTCCTTAACAGAGTGGTATTTTTTTTTTTTTTTAAGATTTTATTTATTGACAGAGAGAGAGAGAGGGAGATACAAGCAGGAGGAGCAGCAGACAGAAGGAGAGGGAGAAGCAGACTCCCCACTGAGCAGGGAGCCAGACATGGGACTCAAACCCAGGACCCTGGGATCATGACCTGAGCCAAAGGCAGATGCTTAACGGACTGAGCCACCCAGGAGCCCCTAACAGAGTGGTATTTTTAAAAATTGTACTTATTATCACATTTTGAATTGCCTCAGTAAGAAATCTGTAGAAATTTGTTTTCTCATTATATAAGTTATCAACATTCTATCTATCTCTTGGGCCACAAAACCTAAAGTAGGTACTATCTGCTCCTTTACAAAAGAAGTTTGCCAATTTCTGGTGGGACTGAAATAAGATTGGCCATGGCTGGTAATTGTTGAAGCTGACTGAATAGTACATGGGGATTCAAAGCATCTTCTTTCTACTTTGGGATGTTTAGAATCTATCATAATAAATATTAGTGGTAAAAAAATTATCATTAAATATATTGAAAACTTTTCCCTGAAAGGTATGCAAGCAAGTTCAATCCAGTCTCAAGGAATGAATAGCTTCTATTTTATATAAACTGTACCAAAGCTCAGAAAAAAGTTTTGTGCTTCCCAACTATGTTTATTAGGGTAGTCTCACCAGAATATGAAAACCAACCCAAAAAAACCCATGTTAAAAAAAAACTGAATTAAAGCAAAGGTCAAATGTCACACAAACAGATGGACAATTACTTAAAATATTGGTAAATCAAATTCAATACTCTATAAAGAATATAAAATTATAGCAAATAGCATTTACTTTTTATTTTATACTACCTTGAAATTTATTTTTTTAGTGTGCTATAATAACAGATTAAACAAGAAAACCATCATAAAAGCAGCTCAAGAACACATTTCAAATACTTCAACATTATTCCTGATTAAAAAATACTTGGGAAGCTAAACACGAATAGATAGGCCTTTACTGTCTTAATCAGAAAACTGCAGCAAATATCAGATTTAATCATTAAATACTAGAGGACTACCCAATTAAGTTTAACATAATAAAAAAGATAAGGATAAAAAACTTCTATTAACTCAACACTGTACTGAAAAGACTGAACCAATGCTGGTTCTTTTGGGTTTTGTAACATCTACATATTCAAACACTAGTTTTCTTATGCACAAGTTTCTTCTGAACATATCTGATGAGAAAAAGTAACATGGCTTTACTGAAAATCAAGCTCTATACACAGATATATACTATATTGTTATGAGAGGACTTAATATTTCAAAATAATCAAAACAACCCCAAAAATCTACCAATTGAAGCAATGCAAGAAAAGATTTTAAACGTATTTTTTAACAGAATGAAAGGCTAATTCTAACTTCACAGAAAAAATGTTAAGAATTTCCACAAAAATACTATAAAAGGAGAACAATGAGAAGATTTGCCCTACAAAATACATGAAAAACTACAGAAATTAAAACAACATGATTTTTTAGCGCTTAACAAATCAAAGTAATAGAACAGAGTCAAAAGAAATTCACATATATAGGGTAATTTAGTCTATGATATAAAGGGACATTTCATTTACTTCATGGGAAAAAGATGGGCTTTTCTATGAATGGCCCTGGGAAAAGTGGCTGCTCATTTGGGAAAAACAAATCTTACTTCATATAAAAAAATAAATTCCTGGTGACTCAGAAAGAGACTCCTGCCCCTCCCAAAATTAAAATATTAAAAAAGCTAAAGTATAAGAGAATATTTTCATTATATTGGGCTGGGGAAGGTATTCCCCAGCAAGAATCAAAATATAGAATACATAGATTTGATTACATCTACTTTTAAAAACTCAATAAGCAACAGACAAGTAACAGTTCAAGAGAATATATTTCCAACAGATATAACACAGAATATATTTCCAACATATGTATATTCATGTACAGGGTCTATCAGCATGCTAATAAATCAATTTTTTTTAAAGATTTTTTATTTATTTATTTGACAGAGAGAGATCACAAGTAGACAGAGAGGCAGGCAGAGAGAGAGAGAGAGGGAAGCAGGCTCCCCGCTGAGCAGAGAGCCCGATGCGGGACTTGATCCCAGGACCCTGAGATCATGACCTGAGCCGAAGGCAGCGGCTTAACCCACTGAGCCACCCAGGCGCCCTAATAAATCAATTTTTAAAAAGTAAAACAACACACAGAAAAGTGGGATACAAATTACTAATAAACATATGAAATATCCTGAACCTCATCATTAACCAAAGAAATGTACTTTAGCACAATAACATCTTTTCTTCTTGAAGATGCAACTAATAAAAATTTTAAATAACTACAATATCCAGTATTGGCTAAAATGTAGTGACATAAAAATATTAAATAATTAGAGAAATACAACTTGTAAAAACATTTTTTTTTACAAAGCAATCTGGCACTATCTATCGAAATGTCAAATGTGCACACCATATGACCTAGCAAACCCAATGCTAGCAATCTATTACAAGGAAATATTCACGTGTGTAAAAAGGATGGACCTATAAGCACAGTTAATGTACAAGATTAGTCTGGAACATCCTATTGTGTCAGACAGCAAGCTATCAAAGGCTGTCACAGCTATGTCCAAAGGACTCAGGAATTAACCCAAACAGGATGTCACTTGCCAAAGGTGTCACAATGTGGTCATCAATAAGATATTCAAACGACTAAAACACATCAAATAGGTTTTAAATCCGTGAGTTCAAACTGGTAACTCCCTCAAAACTGTTCACCTTTAGAGGATAAAAGGAAACAAATCCCTTACTTTGAAAACTGGTAAATATAAGGAAAGAATAAAGTTTTATCCTGTCACTTCCTCTGTGAATTATACTACTGGGTAACCAAATAGTAAATGGGGGGATATTTTCTTTATAGAATTATTCTAGTCACTATAATAAAAAAGAATGACTGGGGAGTAGGTGGTGGAGGAATGACTTAACTAGAATATCACCATTTTGAAAACCTCAATAAATTAACAGAATTATATTACTTTTTCAATTTACAATGTTTCACTTTTGACTGGTTTCCACAGACCCATTAACTCTTTATCTCAATGAACACTTTAAAAACATCCACTTTGGGGACGCCTGGGTGGCTCAGTGGGTTAAAGCCTCTTCCTTCAGCTCAGGTCATGATCCCAGGGTCCTGGGATCAAGCCCCGCATGGGGCTCTCTGCTCAGCGGGGAGCCTGCTTCCCACCCGCCCCCCCGCCCCCGCCTGCCTCTCTGCCTACCTGTGATCTCTGTCAAAAAAATAAATAAAATCTTTAAAAAAAAAAAATCCACTTTGCCGAATTAAAGATCAAAGACACCCGTTTATGAACTGATAAACTAGAAATGGCAATGATTCTGTTGCTATGAAAGAAATTTAAAGCTAAAAGTGGAATAATTTATTACCATCATTCCTTAATTACATTATCACAATATATAATTTGCTACAAAAATTTTAGTTTTAGCTACACATATCAGAATTTCTATTCCATAGATACAATAAAAAAGGTAAATAGAAAGAGAATTGGGACTCCACATTATTAAAAAAGTAGTAATAATGAGCTTTTAAATTACATAGCCATCCATGCGGCGTATTTTGTACCTGCAAATTGCCTTCCACAAGCAAAGTATAAAACTCCCAAATCATTAAGTAAGCATTCTGAACATGCATGGGTACATACCTAATCTCACTCATGATACTTGTTCAAAAATGTCTGCAGAATCAGGTATTAGTATAAAAATATCTTTAGAGAAGCAAAGTTAATGAGGGATATAATTGAAAAGAAGGCAAAATACAACCACAAATTCGTTACTTAACAGTCAAGTAAGAGGCTCAGTTAGGAAGCACAATACTGTCTTATCTTGTAGGTAATATATAAAGGACCGGAGGAGAAGTTTTGGTTGTTTGGAGACAGGCTGATTATTGTTCCTATTATGTAAATCATGAGAGTGTAGGCAGGGCATAATGGCATTCTGGTAACCAATCTAATTGTTCATAAAGGAATTTTTTTAAAAGTCGCAAATAATAATTGCTTTCATACACCAATTTAAGTATTACATGTCATGTCTATATGACATACTATTTAGGAACATCAAACAAGCATACTGAATCTGACCTTATTAAAAAGGACTGTACTGTTACTATGTGAGTAAGATACAGGATTTTTAGCATACAAAATCATATCCTACAAATAATAAGCACTTACAATAAAAGGAAAATAAACTTACAAAAGTCTGTATGCTTACCTGAACCACCCACGGACTGTTGGCAAAGGCCATAATATCTCTCTCTTCCCAGAAAAAAGCAGAATCAGATCTTTTTATCATTTCGAACTTACTAAGAAGCTTCATAGCATAAACTTTCTGTGATGCCTTATGACGAACCTGTAGATTTTTTAAAACACAAAAATAATTTTGTGAAAGGTGAACAACAGATATTATAATTCTATTATTAAAGACTTCAGTTATAAAACAAAATGATCTTTAGCTAACTAATAAAAAGTTTTAAAAGCATTACATTTTTAATGGGAAAAAAGAAGAAAAAATTCCCAACAGCCTAAAAATTTCATGAAATACACAATACATTTAAATGCTAGATTCCATGAATTCATAAAGCTTCATTCCTTAATGTTATTTAAGCTAACCAATTTTAAGAACAAGATATTGTTAAATGAGAAACTTTCAAGGTATGTACATGTATCGCTATCTGAACACAACCTAATAAATTTAGATATGAAGAGATATTTGTGATTTTGTAAGTCATCTTTATTTCTTTCAAAGTATCCTACTTAAAAGGATTTTTTATGTTAAGAAAAAAAAACTACCAACAATATGATTATTTGATCAATTCTTTTTTTTTTAAAGATTTTATTTATTTATTTGTCAGAGAGAAAGAGCACGCACATGCACAAGCCACCTCCAGGCTGAACAAGGAGCCCAACAGAGGACTCAACCTGAGCCAATGGCAGACACCACTGAACCAACTGAGCCACCCAGTCGTCCCTATTTGGTCAACTCTTATCTTCCTTATTAGACTGTAACTTCCACAAGGGCAAAAACAGTATCTTTTTTTGACCATCATTTTAATCCTAAATATATGATAGCAAACGCAACAAATACCTAACGATTATAACTGTTAACGTTTGCTGAATAATTAATAATAAATACTGACTGCTAGCATTTATATTTGGGTATCTAACAGGAGTTCGAAAAAAATGAACTCCAAATCTTCACCCTGGATTTATTCCTCCTACAGTCTTCCCCATTTTAGTAAATGGCTCCTTCCGGTTAGTTGCTCTGGCTAAAAATCTTTGGCTCCTCTTTTTCTCTCACACAGCTCATTAAACTCACCAGCAAATCATTTCAGTTCTACCTTAAAATAGTTTCAGAATCTAATCATCTCTAACTATCTCCACTGCGAACAGCCTGGTCTAAATCTTTCATGACCATTACCTACGATAACCTAACCTGGCTTCCGTCACTCTCACCCACCCACAGTCGGGTCATCCTTCAAAAACATAAACCATTTCCTGTCACTCCTGTTTTAAAACCCCAGTGGTTTCTCATTTCATCTCTGCATGTGTTACTCTCTGTGCCTGGAATCAGCCAAGCCCTCACTTCCTTCAGATCCCTATTTAGATGTTACCTTCTAAGTGAGGCCTACTCTGATCAAGCTACTTCGATTTTTCAATTTACAGCCATGCTCTGCTGCCCATGCCTATTCCATTCTTTCTTTCCTGCTTTTGATCCATTGCACTTACTACCACCTTCTTTTTTACTTTTATTTTATGAGGTCTGGCACTAGAAATTAAGCCCAATGAAGGCAAGGATTTCACTGCTTAATCCACAGTGCTTAGTAAAATGCCTGGCACATAATAAAATATATTTATATAATATATATATATCATATATTATATTAAAAAGTATTTATTTTAGCAAATAAATATTTGATAAAAGAATGAATTTACTGGGGTGCCTGGGTGGCTCAGGGGGTTAAGCCTCTGCCTTTGGCTCAGGTTGTGATCTTGGGGTCCTGGGATTGAGCCCCGCATCGGGCTCTCTGCTCAGCGGGCAGCCTGTTTCCCCCCACACACAACCGCCTGCCTCTCTGCCTATTTGTGATCTCTGTCTGTCAAATAAATAAATAAAATCTGAAAAAAAAAAATGAATGAATTTACTGAGTGGGTGCTTACTATATAGCAGGCACAGTGTATTTTCATAAATGTATTATTTAATCTTCATAACAATTCTAATGAGGTATTACTTCCTCGTGTTACAAATGAGAAATTTGAGGCACAGAGAAATTAATTTGCTGAGGGTTATACAATGAGTAGAAATCAAGATTTAAAGGTACAGTAGTCTGAGGTACATGGGTAGCACAGCTGGTTATGTTGGACTCTTGGTTTCAGCTCAGGTCATGATCTCAGGGTCGTGAGATCGAGCCTCATGTCAGGCTCTGTGCTCGCTCAGTGCGGAATCTGTGTGAGATTCTCTCTCCCTCTCCCTCTGCCCTTCCCTGTGCACTTGCACACACTCTCTCTCTCACACAGATAAATAAAATCCTTCTTAAAAAATTAAAATGAAGGTATAGTAGTCTGCATCCAGAACCCATGCTAGTAACCACTTATCTATGCCATTTCTATATGAGTATAGCCACAATTAGGATGATTTCCCCAGAACAGTGCCAGACTACATTGGTCAGCACAGTCTCCCAAGCAGTGACTGCTCCTTCTCACTCAGAAGTGTGTCATTATTTGTACAACAAATTACATGGTCATCCTACCGAGGGCTGGATGAAAGAACAGGACACGAAGCTCCTGACGAAAATCCACAGAGCGCTAAATGATCCAGCCTACAGCTGCCCTCCTGATCTAAATCTCATCATTTTCTTTCCCTTGTTCATATTTCAACTATATTGAACACCTTCTTTTAGTCCCTCTAATAAGCCTTTCCTCAAGATCTTTACAGGTATTGGGAAGGTAACCGAAAAGCCATCACAGTCTCTGACGTCACCTCCTCCCCAGCGACTAGTTCCTTCATTCAGCTGAAATATAAACTTCTCAAAGGAGGAACTCATTGTTCTCTACCTCAGAACTCCATCTGTTTTGTTCCTAGTAGATACCATAACTTGTGATTTTTTTATGTTGTTTCCTTGTATGTGTCTATCTCCCCCATTAGAAGGTAAGTTCAACAAAGTTAGGGATTACCCATGCCTATTTCATTCTCCATTATATCCTCAGTGTCAAATACAATGCCAGCACTGGCAATGAAAATAGATACTAAATATGTGATGAATGAATTAATATCTGTGAAAAAGAATTTTTTATTTGATCACTGACCAAGCTATTAACTTGCAGTTTTAAGAAAAATACAACAGTAAACTTCTAGTTAGCTCTCAAGTCTTGTCCACATATAGAATCAGTACTTATATTGATGAAAATAAGATAAACCAAAGGAACGCTCATGTCCTCCCCAGAGAAGATATGTAAGAACCATCATATTTTACAGATTAGAAACTGTATAAAATGCTACCAAATCCTAGAAAAATCATACAATGCTGTACCTTTTTAATAGATTTTCTTCCTAACAAATCTTAAGTAAGAATTTTATTTGAATGCACTTGAACAAATCACTCAGAAAGACAGAAAAAGGTCTAGCATGAAACAATAAAGATATATACTCCAAATCATGCATCTTTGGCTATGATACGTCAGTGATACCATCTAGACCTCACAGTGTAAACTACAATCAAAACGGCAAAACATGTGAAGCAACAGTTTTCAGGCTTGGTAAATTAGGCATCACAAGACTATAATCCCTGAGAGGAGAAAAACTCACCAAGTCAACCCCCATAATTGCCCAGACACTCTGCTTGAAGGCAATATCCGAAACAGCACACAAGTGGATCATATAAGCTAAGTACAGTGGTCCTGCTGAACTGAGAAGGCAGAGATCAGTGTTCAAGACAAATGAGGCCACTAGATTATGCTGGGCAGGAAACAGGAATATAAGGAGCTATGCAAAAGGTCTCTAGAAGTACCATGTGAGTCCTTTGCCAAGGGCTGAACTATCCAAAGAGAAGTACCCAAAGTTTATCAGGGAGCAAGGGTTGATAACAAAACAGAGACACTGGAGGTTAAATAACATTAGAAGAACAATCAATTTCCAGCCAAAGAATGGGGAAAACTTGCTCTTTCCTAGGCATTCAGGTGAGACAGCTTAGGAGAAAGAACCATGTACTAAAGCAAGAGGTACTCCAACACTACCTAACAATGCCTAGTAATGCCAATCCCTAAAAGATCAAAACGGGAGCAGAGTTTGGAGGTTCAGTCCTACCAGTTAAAAGGACTTGGAAACAACTTGGTCTTTTCGCACAAAGTATAAAATTCAGTGTGCACAAGTTAAGGGTGATCATCAGGTAATTGGATAGATTATTAGAATGAAAATCAACACATCAACAAAAAGTAACAAACTAACAAAAAATCTCTATCCTATATCTGTAAGGACCAATACATATTTTAAAAATTACTTATTGGGCCACGTGGGTGCCTCAATTGATTAAGTGTCTGCCTTCGGCTCAGGTCATGATCCTAGAGTCCTGGGATGGAGCACCACATTGGGCTCCCTGCTTGGCAGGGAGCCTGCTTCTCCCTTTCCCCCTGCCACTGCCCCTGCTTGTGCTCTCTCTGTCAAATAAATAAATGCTGGGAAAAAAAAATAGGCATTTAAAAAATGAGTAAATAAAAGTAAAAATTACTTAATAGGCACAAAAGGGAAGTGTGAATCATCATCAAGAAAAAAGGAGTCAATAGAAAACCCCCAAAACACTGAACTTAACTAACAAATACTTTAAATATCTCTTACAAATATGTTTGAACAACTGAAGGAAAATAAGTTAAAGAAAAAAAGGAAAATGTAGTCACAATGAGTGAATAGAGGAAAATATCAACAGAGAAATACAAACTGTAAAAAAGAAACCAGAATTTCTTTAACTGAAAAACAACAAAAATGAAAAATTCATTAGAAGGGCTTAATAAAGAATGGAGATAGAAGAGAAGTCTGTGAACCTGAAGACAAATCAATCTAAAGAATAAGGAGAAAAATGAAAAAATGAAAATGAAAGAGAGACTCCAGGGCTTGAAAAGCAATTAAACAGTATAAAAATACTATATATAAATAGACTAAATATAAATATAATAAACTAAACACTCCAACTCATAGGCAGAAATTATCAGAATTGATTAAAAAAGCAAAACTTAATCTCATATATTTTAAAATTAAGACCAAATAGATTGAAAATAAAAGGACAGAAAAAGGTGTACCACACAAACAGCAAGGATAAGAAAACTGACAGAGCAATATTAGTAACAGATAAAGACTTCAAA